TCGGATAAGGTAAAGTTAAAGGAGTTCATCATCACCAAGCCCTTATTATATGAAATGTTAAAGGGACTTATCTAAGAAAAAGAAGATCAAAACTATGAACAGTAAAATGACAACAAACTCACAACTATCAACAACTCAACCAAAAAACAAAAACAAACTAAGCAAACAACTAGAACAGGAATAGAATCACAGAAATGGAGATCACATGGAGGTTTATCAGCAGGGAGGGGGAGGGAAAAGAAGTGGGGAAAAGGTACGGGGAATAAGAAGCATAAATGGTATGTACAAAATAGACAGGGGGAGGTTAAGAATAGTATAGGAAATGGGGAAACCAAAGAACTTATATGCACAACCCATGAACTAAAGGCAGAGGGGATGTTGGTGGGAGGGGGATGCAGGGTGGAGAGGAATAAAGGGGAGAAAGAAACAGGACAACTGTAATAGCATAATCAATAAAATATACTTTAAAAAAATAGCAGGACAATACACAGACGGCAATGTGAATCTGTCTGTTGTCTGGGCCCTGCTTTCAAACCCTCCTGTCTTCTATTATTCTCAAATCTCAAATCTCACCTTGTTCTCAGTTTGTTCCTTTAGTTCCTCCTTCTCTTCCTCAGTCTAATTTTTACCACTGTCCAGAAAGTATCCAGCCATGTGCTATGAAAAATAGAGGTGTTTATTGAAGAAGATACAAGAAACATTGTACATAGGACAATGACGCCTCTGTCCCCTTCAAAGAAGGCGCTTGGGACCTCACACAATTCTCCCAGTTGCCATCACCTGCCCTGTTGTATTTTCCTGAATCTCATCGGCGGTCTGAAAGCTCTTCCTTTTCAAAGATGATTTTAGTTTTGTGAATATCCAGAAGTTGCAGGGTGTCAAATCTGGGATGGAGCGGGGCTGAGATGCTTGGGTGATTTGCTATTTTGCCACAAAACTCTGCACGAGATGTGATGCATGAGCAGGCCCGTTGTCATGATGAAGCTGCCAATCACCAGTTGCCCATAGCTGCAGCCTTCTGAACCATCCGAATAGTTTCCGCAGAGGAATGTTTAAGCTTAATACAAAATTTGATGCAGATTCATTGCTCTACTCACTCAGTCATTTTGAATGCAGCAGTCACACAGTACACACGTTCACTCAACAGCATCTACTGCCCTCATTGACTAGTACAGTGAAGTTCCATTGTCCATGCATATGCATTCTAGCCCACCCTTGTTGGCTGCCAGTTTCTATCAATGTTGCCTAACCCATTCTCATTATGTTAACAATGGCTGGACTTTTCCTGGGCAGACTTCATGTTTTCACTGGGTCTAGAGTTCTGTGTTGACATTTGTTTTTCTCTCAGAACTTTAAAAATGTCACTCCCTGTTCTGGTTTGCCTTCTTTCAGATAAATCTTCTGTAATTTTTATCTGTATTCCTCTGTATGTAATGCTTCTTTTTTCTCTGGCTGTCTTCAAGATTTTTATCTTTATCTTTGGTTTGCTGCAGTTTGACTATGATATGTCTAATACTTTTTTGTTTTAGGGTTCTCTGAGCTTTCTGATCTATGGTGGTGTAATTTTCATTTGTTTTGACAAATGTTCAGTCATTATTATGTCTTCAGATATTTTTTCTGCCCCATTTTCTCTGTTTTCTCCTTCTGGGACAGTAAATATTTGCTATTGTCCCACAGCTCTGAGTTGCTCAGTTCCTTCCCCTCTTCATCCTACTCTTTTTCTCTTTGTGTTTCAGTCTGGGTAATTTCTGTAAACCTTTTCCATGTTTCTCAGCTGTGTCAAGTCTACTTATGAGGCCATTGAAAGGCTTCATCTCTAATATTGTGGGGTTTTGTTATTTGTCTCTAGTATTTCCATTTACCTTTCATATAGTTTCCATCTCTCTGCTGAAATTTCTTTTTGTCATACATGTTCCCCACATTTCCCCTAGATTATTTAACATAAACATAGTTGTTTTAAAATTCTGACATCTGGAGCTTCTCTAAGTCTTGTCCGATCATTTGATTACCTTATTTCTTGACACTGTTTTTCCTTGCTCTTCTTGGTGCCTCAGAATTTTTTTTAAAATAGTGGACATTGAATACCAAACAGCGGTTCTCAACCAGGGTTGATTTTGTCCTCACAGTAAAGAATTATCTGGCCCAAAATGTCAATACTGCTGAGGTTGAGAAACCCTAATGTAGAGGAATAGAGACTAAAGTTAACTGTATTTGCACTTGAAAGTGGGCATCCTTCTGTCAGGTCATTAGTGTGGGGATTGAGTCAAATTAGGTAGCCGTTAGGTATGGTTTTGTTGTTCTCTATTTATCTTTAGTGAACGATAGAATTCAAACTCTTTTAGCAGTGGACTGATGTAACTAACCTTGTGCTTACCGTGTGGGCTAGGGTGCCAGAGGTGTTTACTGCCACGCTTGTCCCCCCTTCTGTGGTAGACTGCTGCTGCTTATTACTTAGTCTAGGCTCACAAATGTATTGGGGGGAAGGTTCTCCGTTGCCCTTGTCCAGCCTGTCTTAGGCTTTGTGAGTCTGGGACTCTGGGATGGGGCTTTTTCAACATTTCTGTCTTCCTCCTGGTGAAAGCAAACCTCTGCATGGTGTCTGTGATTGGTCTTTATTGGGACTTTCATCTCCCTCTTCCATTGGCAACAAACCGGTGTCTGGTATGGATATAGGATTCTGAACCCAAGGAGTTTCCTGACCTTTCCCCAGTGATAGAGGGATTTTGCTTCTATCCTTCCCCTGCAGCAGAAATTTTGTCTACCCTTTAAAACGTTAGAGGATTTCCTATCCTCTTTTGGATTTGGTATTACTGGGTTTTGCTCTTCTTCCCCCCGCCCCTTGCCCCCCACAGAAATGGATCTTTACCTGTACCCCAAGGGAGAGTTTGCTGCTCTTGCATACTACCGGTGGGATTTTGTGCCTGTCCCCCAACAGTTGCATGCCTGCCCCACAAGGGGTTTCTCTCCATCTCTTTCTCAGTCTCCATCTTTCTTGTGAAGAAAGAATTCTGTTGGAGTTTTATGGAAAAGTGCTTTTGAGTGAATGTAAACTCCCTTTGTACCTAAGGCCCCTGACTACCTCAAACACCATGTTAGCTCACATTTGGCCTTTAAGAATTCATTAAAATTTTAAGTGATTTCCTCTTGCCCACTTGTATGGCAGCCTCTTTTTCCTGTGCTCTGCCAAAGGTGAAGGAGTTCTTGTGTTCCGTCTCTTTTGGAATTCCGTTTACTTGGTTGCTTTGCAAATTCAGCTCTCTGAGGGGCTCAAGAGATTATGATTTTGTAGATTATCCAGCCTTTTCTCATTATGAGATTGGAAATGATGTTCTTTGTCCTTATACATTCTAAGCCCACACCAAAAATCTTTATTGAATGTATACTATGTGCCTGACATTATTTTAGGTACTGGGGATAGGGAGGTAGACCAAACAGATCTGATCTCATGAAATTTATATTCAGTTGAAGGGAGGTAAGTATATTTACATATTATATCAGGTGATAAGTTCTGAAGAACAGTGAAGCAGATGAGAGAAAAAGCAGTAATGGTATTTTTCCCTTCCCTTATGCCTGCATATTACACTTTATTTTACTTTTTCTTCTCCTCAGGGATCTCTGAGTTGGAGAGTTGAACAGACATACTCTGCCATAATTTGATATATAAATTGCTAAGATTTCAGTTCCAAACACTAAATGGGACCCATCATCCCCACCAGAAAGGATATGACTTCCTTATAAACATGCCAGGCGTTCTGTTTAAGGTCAAACTAATACCAACAGACACAAAATACAGGGGTATACACTTTGACTCAATATAAGGAAGGACTTTCAAATAGTCACAGATGTCTGCAAAAATAAAGAGGGATACTGTTCTGGAAGGTAATATCTTTCCTTTCCTTGGATAAGATCCAACCTATACCTGGCACCTTTCCAACTTCCCCTGAGGGCATCTAAGCAGACAGGTGAGGCGAGCAATCCTAGCCTCTAAAAGAAGACAGTGGCCAAAGGCTTGTCCTGGGAAGCTGCCCTCCTGTGCACCTCAGCACTGCTTCTTTATCTCCCACCCCATTGTACAGATGAACAAACCAAGTTTTAGAGAAGAGTAATGACTTGACCAAGATCACAGAGCTAGGAAGTAGGCGGTGGAACTGGGCTTGGGGCCAGGGTATTGCATCTAACTCCTCAATCTGTTATCTTTCCCCGCACCACATAACCTCAGGCGACACCTTCTGGTGGCTCCACACCCACTGTTCCAAAAGAGGCAACTTTCTCCAAATTCAAACCCCTTTTGCTGGTAAAGTTAGCCAAAGCGTAGGATGCAGTCCGAGGTGCTGGAAACATGAAGCTTCTTGCCTGTACTGACCAGTTCTGACTGAGCACCTTTTGCCTCACGAGAACTGCTCTCTCTCCCTGAGCTTAGATACACACCGGTACTTTAAGAAAATCAATTTTCGGCGTATAAAGCTTCTTCCCTAGGGCAAAAAAATTTAGGGGACTGATGAAAACTCGGTATCTGGACTCCAGTCCTCTCTGTGGGGCGTCGGAAACGGCAAGTAGGCGTCGGAAACGGCAAGAAGGCTCTTCAAGTTTCCTCCTTTGCCACTTGGAGTAACTGGTTCTGCCGCACTGACAGGGAGGGGGCGAGAAGACCTTGGCCAAGGAAGCAGTCCGTTAGTTGAAACGGCAATCCGTCAGCCGAAATGGTGGGGGATCCGAAGGCCGTGCGCATGGGGACAAACCTCACCCAGGCCCAGGTTCGCTTCCACTAGTAAGAACGGTAAGCGAAGACCTCGAAAAGGCGCGTTAGCCTCCTGCGCAAGCGCGTGCAGCGTCGGGGGCGGGGCTTTAGTGGGCGGAGCCAGTGGCACAGCTAAGCGAGGCCTGAGTCGAGGTGCGTGCGCCGGATGTGGGCGGGGCCGAGGGCTGGGCCTAGGTGAGCGGGGCCTGGCCGTCACGCGCAGCCCCGCCCCCTGGGCAGATGTCTGGCTCCGGGAGGCGGCAACCGCTCCTACTCGGCCCTTCCCGGTTGGCTGGAACAGCTGCGCCTCAGTTCTCTGGTGACTATGGGGGACCCCAGCAAGCAGGACATCCTGACCATCTTCAGGCGCCTCCGCTCCGTGCCCACCAACAAGGTAGTGTCCGCCAGGCGTGTTCAGGCTTGCGTGGCATCCCTGCCAGACCCCGCGGGCGCCCTGCGGTGCCAGTGTCCGCGGCCGCGGGAGGAGGAGCTGGCCCGGCCTGTGACACGTCGCACTTGCGGCTGCGGCGGCTGGGCCTCTCCTGGGTCCGAACCGCGCGCCGCCCCCCAGCCTCAGCCCAGGCGGAGCAGGGGAGGGGGCGCACACCTGAGCCCGAGGGCGGGGCGGGCAGCCGGGGGTTCTGGGGGCAGGAGGCGAGAGCACCTGGGGGGTCCTGGGGGCGGGGGGCAGACGCTCGTGGGTTCCTGACACCGGGCGGAGGAGCGTACGCGGGGCGGGAGCGGCCTTTTGGGGTGGCCGAGTGGACACTGTGGGCTCCTGAGAGAGATGGGGGCGAGCCTGGAGGTCCCGAGAGAAGGCTGGGGAGGATCCCCCGGGGTTCCTGCGAGTGGGGCGGACACCGCAGGCCACCTGTGGCCCAGCTGGGACGCATGCACCGGGTCAGTGCTCCAGCTGGTAGCACTGGGCGTTTGGGAGAGCTCGGGTCGGCCCCTCCCCACCCTAGAATGGACCCCTAAAGATTCTCAGGGCGCCTGTTGGAGCCTGATTGGTTCCCTGTGTCCCTTGATGGCAGCTTCGGTGTTCCTCTGTGACAAACCTGCTCAGTGGTTAGTGCAAGGACTCCCAGCTCTTTTCTCTTTCTAAGAAAGCCCAACACAGACCCTTTCCCTTCCTCCCCTTTGGGTCTCGTTGGAGACTGGGGTTTTCCTTCTGTTCCCACCTCCAGAGGCTGTCCCCTCTTCGTCCCCCATGGTTTTTGCAACTTTTGGAAACTGGCTGGAGCTGGGATGACGCATTGGGGCACAGTGACGCCCTCCTCTGAGGATCACAGGTCCGGATGACAGGGCGGACTGGATCCTGGAGGGTGCAAAGGGCTGCTCCGTCAGCGTGGACTCTCTCCTCTCCACCTGTGACAGGAGTTCAGCGGGAGCCCCATCGTCACCTCCAAAGTGAACAGCTGTTAACAGACATGGTCATGAGCTGTGACATGGTGGCATAGGAAGTTCCTGAGTTTTACAAAATTTAGGTGTCTTTGTATTAAGTCTTGATGGTAGAGGGGAGCCCATAATTCTACAGCCTAAGGGGAGTGAGAAAGGAACGATTCTGTGGATGTGGTGTCTGATGAAGGCAGGAGTGTCAGGAGGAGGAAGACTCCAGGAAATCTCCAGAACCAGTGTCTTTGCTAGTTTCTTGACTTTCCATTTTAGAGCCAGCTGTTAATACAGAGTGGTTCCTATCTACCTAGACAACATTCGGGTCTGCAGTTAGCAGTGTAGAAACTGTATATTTTTGTCTGCTTTATTTCAGAAACATAACATTAAAGGGAAAGTACCCTTTTTAAAATAAGAAGTCAGTGTCTTTCTACCAAGAGCCACTTTGAGGGACATATATGGGCACACTTGTAAATTGTTATCCAGACCCTGCTGCTTTCTAACTATGTCTCCTTGGGCAGGTCACTTGAACACTTACTTTGTACTTTATTTTCCTCAACTGAAAAAAGGGACATGAGCAGGATCTACCTCAGAGGGTCATTGTGAGGATTAAATGAGAAAACCCTGGAAAAGTACTTAGAACAGGACCTGCATATACTGTACTAGTCTTCAATACATGTCAGCTGTTATTTATTATTTTTATTATGAACAACATACCTGTGAAACATTTTATATTCTGTAATAGGATTAATAAAAGCGTTGCGCAAAAATAATTTCTGGTAATGTTCCACAGTATCGTGCTACATGTCTTGATTAAGACTTTTTATATGATCATTAGCAAGGAACGATTACCCAAAGATGAAAACTAGTTTTAATGATGTGGAAGAGTTGGATGACAATAAGCATTTTCAAAGTTGAGTTCCAAAAAGAAGCTCTAAGATACACGAGACAGGAAAGCTAGGTAAAGAAAAACAACTCCGTTTACTTTTAGAATGTGGTGTCCAATTTCTTCCTGTCGTGTATGATGACCATTTGCTCTGGACCAAGGGTTTTAGCTCATAAGGGTCAGTTTTCTAGTTTGTGAAATCCGTCCTTAAAGCTATACTCTTCCTTAGTTTTCTGTTGATTGCTTGAATAATTCATTCAGCAAAAATCCATTGAGCACCTGCAGTGTGCTGGGCACTGAACCAAGCATTGTGGGTACACTGCTGCACCCTCAACAGAGAGACAGGCTCCTGCCTTCAGGGAGTGGATAGTCCAGTGGACAGAGGACAGGTCAAGGGCCGCCTGGCGGTGTGAGAGACAGTGTGGTACGGGGCGCAGACTGCTGGGGTCCATTCCCTGAGATACCGTTTCTTAGCTGATACTTCATAATTCCTTAGTTTTCTCTAAAACAGAGATCAAAACTGCATGCTACATAATTTGGGGGAATGCAGAATGAAAACGGAGGGACCTTGTTTGAAAAGTTCTGAGAATGTTAAAGTGAGACAGCAGAGCATTAACCAACCATGGGCCCTTCTGAGTGCGGGGCCCTGCGGGACTTGCAGGTCACACACACACCCTGGCAGCTGGCCCCGATGGGACCGTCATGAAGATTCAGGTGGCTACCAACAGCGCCCGACAGGGAGTCCACGTTCAATATCAGCTCTTGTTTCTGTAGCAACTGTCGCTCTCATCATTAGTCAAAACGATTTCTTTTTCATCAACAGAATAACTCATATTCTGCTTAGAAAAGCATCATCTTTGTACAGTCCCCACTCTCAAAGCAGTCCCCGTGCTCCGCAGGAGACTCCAGGCGGCCTTGGTGAGGGCCACACTGTGTTTCCAGCTGCTCCTGCCCTCCAGTCCCACAGGTCCGCTCCCAGCTCGTCCGCTCTCCCACCCTGCAAGCTGCCCCTGCTACCTGTATTTGTGTTTAATGGCACTTTGTGCCAGGCTGGGTGCTCAGCTCAGGTGACCAAGATAGACTGGGCCCCAACTTCCGTTGAGCTACATTCTAGCAATTCCTCCTTCGTGGGTGGGTGAGGAGGATGCTGAAGTGGCGGGTCCCCAACTGCTGTCCTCCCACAGCCAGCCCCTCCACCACCTCGGGAGTGGCCCTCCGATGCCTGCTCCAGGCTGCATACACCTAATCTCTGCTGTCACCTGTGTTCACAGCGCCATTTCCTGCCTGCCTCTTACAGCCCATTTAGACTCTCCTTTAGATCCCAGATGCCTCCTGGACCCTGTCTAGGAAACATTTTGCATCCTGTCCTTGCTTCCTAAGATTCAACCTTGCAACTAATTATCTCGCACACTAGACTGCTGGTCTGTGCACTCTGGGCACGCCTGCGGAAACCTTTGTACGTCCGCTTTGTGGGCTGGGCGCTGGGTCCATACTTGATTGTACATAAATACACAACTGTCCATTGAGTAAGTGAGGGATTCCAAATGGCCCCTCGTAGAGACAGCACCTTTGGCACAGTCCCACGGAAAGAGAGTCCTTACTCTGGTGGCCGTCAGCACAGGGCGCCCGAGTCTCCCTGTCCTCTCCCTCTGCGGGGAGCTCTGCAAAGGCCAGCACATGGCCTGGCAGGGGGCAGGGGCTCAGCAGGTTTGTGGAATCAGCGATGCCACCTACTTCTCAATTCCTCAGTGCCATCACAGTGAGTGGCCGGCACCTTTCACGTCCATTGTCACTCCACCCCCACAATTCATACGCGCTTAATGTGAGCCTCTTGTGAGGAGGGGCTTGGGTTTTGGGAAGCCCGCTCATGTTTTTGCACTTGCATTGCCCTCAGAAGGCCAGAAGCCAGGTCTCTCTTGATGATTATAATCAGGACAATCTCCAGATAGGTGACTCTGCCTATAAACTGTGTCTAAAGTATAGGCACTTTTTTTCTGGAAAGAAAATTATAAACAATTCTATTAGTGGAATTACTGTCCTGTAGCCCTGACTTTAAAGATTGTATTTATATATTTTTAGAGAGAGGGGAAGGGAAGGAAACAGAGAGGGAGAGAAACACCATTGTGTGAGAAACAGTTGCTTCCCACACGCCCCCTACTGGGAATGGGCATGTGCCCTGACTGGGAATTGAACCAGCAACCTTTTGGTTCACAGGCCAGTGCTCAATCCACTGAACCACACCAGTCAGGGCCTGACTTTAATTAATTGTGTTAATTTCCATGGCAAGCATTACATATTTTAAAGAACTTTTACGCTTCTGTTATCAGATGAATAATGTCTGACTTTGGTCAGTGTTGAGGAAGGCTAGCTCGGGGTCTCTCAGAGGCTGAGGTCCCTGAAAGCTGGGGTTGCCACAGCCCGGCTCGCTCACATGGTGGGCAGCTGGCCCTGCTCTGCTCTGCACCAGCTGCTGGGCTGCGGGCCTCACTTCCTCCCCACCCGGGTCCCCCCACTCTGCCGCCCAGGTGTCCTCGGGCCCTGGAGGCTGGCTTCCCCCAGAGCCAGTGATGAGAGAGAGATGGGGAGGAAGTAAGTCACGGCATCTTTTATGACCTACTCTGGAAATGACAGAATTTCTGCCGTATTATGGTCACACAGACCACCTGGGAGCAGTGGGGGGCGGGGGGGTTACACAGGAGGGGAGGAGCACCGTGGGCTCTGGCTGCTGTTCTCCTCCTCCGCCAGCTGAGGACAGACGTGTGTACAGTGCCCGCCATCCATTACAGAGCCACTGTCCAGGGGACAGGGAGGCCTTGAGCGTTCTCAGCAGGGGACTTCCATAGCAAGTGTTTACATGACTGGCAGGAACCCTGCTAATGCTTCAAGGACAGGTAATGTTTGAGAGGATACACACCTGAGTCCTCTTCACCACCCATACTGCATAGTGGTATAACAGATTCATGATAATATATAATTTACTGTATAATTAATGTATTAATATAATTATATTAATATAATATAGTAATAATAATAAAAGTAACTGAAATTTGAGGTTTTAAAAAATCTAGTTGAGATAGTTTCTATTAAACAGTTTAAGCTGTGAAGGTTAAGCAGCTTTCAAGCTAAATCATGTATTGCGTCCTGTGGGAGGGCTCGTTTGGCTAATATAAAGCAGTTAATAATTGAGTTTTCAAATTTTCTTTCAGGTGTGTTTTGATTGTGGTGCCAAAAACCCCAGCTGGGCGAGCATAACCTATGGGGTGTTTCTTTGCATCGATTGCTCAGGGTCACACCGGTCACTCGGGGTTCACTTGAGTTTTATTCGGTAAGTAAATCTGTCCCCATTTGCGGGGTGGGAGGGATTACCTTGTCACATGGGTCTCTTTCCCCTTTTTTATGTTCCCTTTGACATCGAGTAAAATGAGCAGTTGGTTATCAGTTATGGAGACTTAAGTCATAATTAAGTCAACTGGGAAAATGAGTTATTTTCTGTTTAGTTACTGTATATAGAGCTCTGTCAGAGACAGGAGGCTGTGGTGTTGAACAGTCAGAATGGAGGGTATGACACAGCATTTCCTTTCCCTTTATGATTTTCTAATAACCTAGCAGCACAAAGGAGTCCTGCTGTGGCACCGGAGAATGGGAGCCAGGGGCTGCGGGCTGCCCCGCACCCCGCCAGGCGAGAGCTGCTGTCGTCCTCGGAGCAGGGTTCCAGCGCTGTCCTGCGGCCCTGGCCCCCAGGCACCGATACCACGAACCCCAAGTGAGGGTTTCTGCGTGGACTTTAGTAGCAGTTACAAATGCTTGTAATAGGAACGTCTTTCTTCTCTTTTCATCTGAAGTCTTGGGCTGCATTGGCTCCTCCTGACAAGTTCCTATCATCCACTCCAATACTGGTATGGGTGGGGCGGAGGCCTGGGTGGGGCCTTTGTGTGCAAGAGAGAAAGGCGCCCCCTCTGGACACACACAGCCCCAAGTCCAGTGGGAGGTGGCGGGTGCCCTTGTGTGAGGTAGAAGAAATTGAGGTGGTAAAAGAAATAATCCAAGGGTTCCAGCGGGGCTCAGGGCTGGAAAGCCGAGTAAGGCCTGCACTTCAACAGCTGAGTGTGGCCGGTGGCCGGGGCACCCCTGCGCAGCCGCGTGGGATCCCTTTGATTGTTGGCCACCTCCAACCAGGTCCCCTATTTCCCTTCTACTTCTTTTCCCAGGGAAGGAACCAGCTAGACAGGCAGATAGACTACTTAGAATTGTGGCAAGCAATTTTATCTTATATTATGACTTGAGGAATATTGATACAACAAAATTACTCTAAAGAGCATTTGTTCCTAAAGCATAAAGTCTATTCTAATTCATAATGAGGTATTTTGCATGATAGCATAAAACCTGAATAGTAATAATAGCAACAAAATTTTCTTTTTTTAAATGTTCTTTTTGTTTTGTTTTTTTAGATTTTTATTTATTTATTTTTAGAGAGGGAAAGGGAAGGAAGGAGAAACAAAGGGAGAGAAATACCAATGTGTGGTTGCCCCTCATGCGCTCCCTACAGGGGACCTGGCCTGCAACCCAGGCATGTGCCCTGGACTGGGAATCGAACCAGCGACCCTTCGGTTCTCAGGTCGGTGCTCAATCCTCTGAGCCGCACCAGCCAGGGCTAATTTTCTTTTTTAATATATTACTTTAATTTTTTTTTCCTTGGGTTTTTTTCCCCCAGAAATCAGTTTGGGAAGGCCTGTTGTGCTAAATATTAATAGCCATATCTCTCCATAATTAATTATCTAGAAAGGGCAAGTCTTCTGTTTGTTCTTACTGGTTTTAGAGTGTCAGTTTCTTGTCTTCTTTTCTTTTTCTTAGCTGCAGTTTTCCGAAAATTTTGAATACCCTATCCTGTCCTTGTCCAGTTTTTAAATCTTGAAGGAGTCAGTTGCCCGGGCAAGTTTATTTTCAGTGTCCTTCCTTCGCACCCCCAGGTCAGTTGTTACTGGTTGACATGCAGTCTTGCTCTGCCCAGAGCCCAGAAAGGGTGGACTCAAGGCAGTAGTGGTTGTCCTTCTTTCTCTCTTTGCTGTGTTCTTTCCTCTTCTTCTCTGCCAAGCCCTGCCCTTCATACCCTGGTCCTCCCTTTCCCTCCCCACTGAAGTGTGCCGCCAGACCCAGCCCTTCCGGGAAGTGAGGAAGTTTTTGGGCGTGTTCTGTGGTCGAGGGGAGGGCTGACCTGGAGCCTGGTGAGGCTGGACAGCAGGGTCTGTTTGGGCTCTTGCTGGTTTAATCACTAGCTTTGTAAAAGTCAGATAAATATAACTGTATGAATCACAGTTCTTATAAATGATTCCGAAACAATGGTTAAAAATTACTGGTAAGAGGGCAGCAGTCTAGGGTTTGGGCAAGACAAAGTCAAGGGTGATAAGGGTGCTTGGCATCTTTTTTTTTAAGAGGCGGCAGGCTGTTCTTGGAACTCTTTTTTACTGATAAAAAAAATTACAAGCACTAGCTTATCAGGAAAAACATTGTATCTTGACTCATATAAGGATTATGGAGGTTGTGGGAACCCTATTTTCTCCTTTACGTAGTCAGTTAACTAGAGCTATTTGGTTAAAGTGACAACTCACTCTTCAACTTTTCTTACATTTTCTGCTTACTTTTCCTTAGCACTCAGATTCTCTTACCTTTCACCATCTCTTTGTCCAGACTAAAGACAGGAAAGAGCCCGCAGGGCGCCACCTCTGCGTGCGGGGACGGGCACCAATGAGCGGCGCGAGCCGCTCTCGCAGGCTGACCGAATTCAAGTCCGCCGCCACCGAAACATTCTGCTGGAAATCCCCGTGCGTGACAGAGAATCCCTGCCAGCTCAATTCAAGAACAATTAGGGTTTTTTTAGATTTTTATTTCTAAAAAATACATAAACAATGTTTTGCTTTATTTTTTCAAAGATAGTTTAGGACTAAAAGTTGGAAAGCAGGTTAGCAAGTCAGAGGACTTGAGGCTTCAGTTTCAGGTCCTCGTTTAAGTCAGGTACCTGTTACGTGCCCGTGCCAGGAGCGTGAGAGAAAAACAGGGGACGCGCCTGCCCTCTGGGGTTTGCTGCTTCTAACAACAGGTGACAGGGTTACCGCGATGATGAGGGTGATGGTGGCACTTTTTGCCATCTGGTGTTTACCAGGAGCCAAGCGCTTTTCAGATAGTGGTGTATTTAATTTCTACAGGGGTGAAATAGATAATCCTACATTTTTTCCTACTTTACAGACGAGGAGAGTGAGGTGCAGAGGTCGAGTAAATCAGTTCCCCAGGGTCACGCAGCCTGAATGGCGGAGCTGAGATTCCACTCTCAGTCTGTCGCCAGGGCTGTGCTGTTACCGGCCACCTGTGACTGCTGGGGTGGGAAGCGCCACCTAGTCTAACTGGGCAGGGGGTGGGTCACGACAGTATGGGGACTAAGCAAGGTCTTTCAGAGAAGGGATTTCAGAACAAGATACATAATTTAATCACCTTGCTTGGTGATCCAATTCTAAAAGATTTATTTTTGTCTTTGGGAAATATGTTCCTTATCAAGTACGGCTTTATTTTTACTTTTTATGTCACCATGAAGTATATATGTCATCTGTATATGTGATAATAATAATGTATTCATGTCAGTATTAATCTTAAGGTAGCTATTGGCTTTAAAATAACACCTTAACATTCATAAGGATTAAACGTTACAAAGAGGCATAGAAATCAGTAAATGGAAGGGTGGCAATAAAGGAAATTTTGGGTGGGTTTGAAGCCTTTTTTCTTTCTCCATTGCCCACTTTGTGAGGGCTGTTCTGCCTGCATCCATTCTAACATGTCCACATTCCTTTACAGTAAGTGCAGGACAAGCTATTGTGGAATAGAGGGTAGCCCTGCTTTTTTGCTCCTCTCTGTCAATTCTGTACAGAGGCTTCCAACATTGTTGTGCTGCCCTAGCTTGCTTTACACTGATCACTTCGTGAATTTTTTAAAAAGATTTATTTTTTTAGAGAGGGGAAGGGAGGGAGAAGGAGGGAGAGGAAAAAAAAAATCAAGGCGTGGTTGCCTCTCATGCACCCCCCTACTGGGGACATGGCCCACAACCCAGGCACGTGCCCTAGACTGGGAATTGAATCGGTGACCCTTTGGTTCGCAGGCCAGTACTCAATGCACTGAGCCACACCAGCCAGCGCAGAATTTTTATTGCTGGGAAATACTCTGCTCTGAGGTGATGTTAGGTTTCAGGTGCGGTGGAGTAGGAGGCACTTGCAGCTTTCACTTCAAGAGTGTTCGATCCTGAGTTTTCTTCCCTCCTTCATGGCGGTAGGTAGGTCCCTTATACCTGAGGGTGAAATGAGGAGCATCCTCTAGGCTCTACTAAGGGCCAAAGTGGATGCCTGGAAAAATCCAAACAGGACATCTATTCTGAGTAGAAACACATTACCTAATTTTGGATCATGACCCACTAAGGGTATAAGGCAGAGGCAGCATTGTTCCAACAGCCCCACGAAGCTTTTGTTCTGTTCCCTAGAGGACATGACTGCTGGAGTTGGTGCCACAGAAGTACTGCTGGCCTGGTGTGGTCGGCATGGCCTGCATGGGCTGCCCGCGGTTGGTGTGGAGGGGAGCAGGTGGTCGGGGCCATCAGAGCCTTGGCTTCATGGAAGGATGAGAGGGGCCAGGAGCTGCTGGACCAATAGTCGTGCACTTGGCCATCTGGAAGCATGTGTCACTGTTAATATGAACTTATAATTCTCCAGGATCCCGATGATCAAGAAAACCTTTCATAAGGGTTCTCAAAAGTTTAGTGGCTTGATTGTGGGGGAAAAAAAGTATTAACATTTAAGAATGTTCTTTCCATTTAGATCTACAGAGTTGGATTCCAACTGGTCTTGGTTTCAGTTGCGATGCATGCAAGTTGGAGGAAATGCTAACGCGGTAAGTTCATCTCAGACTCATTTTCCTTCAGTATGAACGTGTGTTCCACTAGTAAAGAAGTTCAGCACTTGCACTACGTGGAAGGCCCTATCAGATAACAGAGAGACATGGGGCTTTGGAGCTGGATGACCCAGTTGACTTGTTTAACCAAAAATCTGTTAAACACCTGATAATCACAAAGCTTTGGGCTGGGTGCTGGGATCTAGTGACGAACAAGACAGATAGATCCCCTCTCTTATAGACAGACACAGAGAGTCATTAAAGAAGCACATAAACAAGAACCTAACAGGTGGTGAGAGTGCTTCAAAGAAAATTTCAACAGAAGGCGGTGACATGGAGGAATTGGGAGGCTTCTTGATGAGAGTAGTTTTTTAATGTGCAGTGGTGATTCTCATGCTTAGAGTGGAATGAATGCTTACAGCCGCTTACACCTGAGTTTCATTTAATTTATGAAATCGACAAATTTTTAATAAAACCTCTTCAACTTTTCAAATACAATATATATTTATTTATAAACTTAGTAATTTCTGTGCAAAAAATAACCAATTAAATGGTCACTTAGTTTATAATTGTATATAAAACAGTAGACTTCTTAAACCCTACTTACAAACCTAAGGATCCTCAAACATTTTAAACTTCATTTACAAATTCAATATATTTGATTTCCCAAACTCTAAATACAAGTCTAGCCAGCAAAATCACATAAAGCACTGATACCCTATTTATTTTTTTTAGAGAATGGGGAAGGGAGGAAGAAAGAGGGAGAGAAACATCTGTGTGCAAGGGAAACATTGATCAGTTGCCTTTCACATGCACCCACCTGAGGACCTTGCCTGCAACCCAGGCATGTGCCCTGACTGGGAATTGAACCAGTGATCTTTTGGTTCATAGGCTGGCACTCAGTCCACTGAGTCACACCAGCCAGAGCTGATACCGTATTTATAATGCTAAGTGGTAGAGGTTTAGTAAATAGAATTCCCGTAGACATGCTAATAAACGTTCAAAGTGTAAGAAATCAAATTTGTATGCATTTCAAATAAAAATTATATCTAGCATCAACTTGATATTTAAAATTAAAATTGTAAATCTAAAATAGTAGTTTTCAAAATACCAGATTCCCTTGGAATAGTGTTTCTCAAACTTTTTTCATTAATGTTCCCTAAACAGAAAAATTAAAGTTAGATTATTATAAATTTAAATTGAATTTAATTTTTCCCTAGTGAGAGGAAATTAAATACCAAGGAATATGATATGTCAGGTAAGGGTGGGCATTGGAGGGTCACAAACCATTGTAATAACTAAGATTTTTTTCATTTTCCAAGAATCAGTTTTTCCCCATTAAGAATGCATTCAATCTGCCCTGGCTGGTGTGGCTCCGTGGATTGAGCGCTGGCCTGTGAACCGAAAGGTTTCTGGTTCAGTTCCCAGTCAGGGCACATGCCTGGGTTGCAGGCCAGGTCCCCGCTTAGGGGCATATGAGAGACAACCAATCTCTCACACAATAATGTTTCTCTGCTCCCTTTCCCTCTCCCTAAAAATAAATAAGTAAAATCTTTAAAAAAGAGAGAATGCATTAAATCCTTAACATTTCAAGCATCTTATTAGAAATCCATGCCCATTATCATGATGTCCACAAGCTTGTTCTAACGCTATGGGTTTGATTTTACCCATCCTTGTCTCTAAGCCTTCCCAAGGGTGCAGAGTCCCCCACGCACCTCGAGAGAGCAGCTTCCTCCTCTCCAGCCAGTGGAGCTGGGGAATGGCATAGGGAAGGGTCAGGTCCCTGGGCACCGCACTCCGCAGTGGAGTTGGAACCATCCTCAAGTTGGAACACCAGCTCTGCCTCCCACTTACCTGTGTGATGTTGAGCAAGTCATTGAACCTCTCTGTGCTTCAGTTTCCCCACCTGCGAAGTGTAGATAATAACAGTGACATCTGATGGTGTTGCCATGAGGATTTAATGGGTTGGTGCCCAAAGAAGGTAGAACGGGATCTGGTATGTGTGCATGTGCATTATTGATCAAGTTGGGTCCATGAAAGGGTCGCGCATGCAGGTTTTGGAATACCTCCTTAATTAAGATATGGATTTTGTAATTCATGTCTGTGCATGGACCCGTATAAGGGGCCGGAGCAGGCGCCTCTAGTTGTTCAAGTATTTCTTTTATCACCTCGCCTGTGCTGCCTCTGGTAGTGAATAAATGGTGCTGAACAATGTGAAGGCCGGCGTAGCTCCAAACCAATTTGTCAAAAATTCCAATTTCTTGGAATCCCAATTAAAATGGACTCCTCATGAATTAAAACTGGTCCTGAGTGGAAAGCGTCCCCCCAAGTGACATTTAGAGTGACAGGGGGTTCACTAGAGAAACGAAGGGCCAGTTATTTCATTTTGTAATTCAAGGCTTGTGTCCAGTTTTACCAAAATACCAGTGTCACATCTGTGGAACGTGTTCCCTTTTACAAGGAAGATTTTAAAATTTTCCTGGTTTACATGATTTGGGTTTTCTAAACCCTCACTAGGTATTTTCAAAAACCCTTCCTGACAGAAGTGAGGTTTGGGTCACTGGGTGCGACGCGCTGCAGTATCGCTAGTAACCCGTGCGCTCTCCTCCGCAGTCGTCCTTCTTCCACCAGCACGGCTGCGCCACCAGCGACACCAACGCCAAGTACAACAGTCGCGCGGCCCAGCTCTACAGGGACAGAGTCAAGTCGCTGGCCTCGCAGGCCACGCGGAAGCACGGCACTGACGTAAGCGCAGCCCTGCGCCTGCTGGGTGGTTCGTTTGCGTAGGCAACGTGGCTCTTAGCAGGGCGCCGCCTACCGCTCCTCTCTGCGCAGATTGCTCTTTGGCTGCCGCAGGCTCTGAATGCACAAGGTGTCTCGCTGTCGTCACCAGGTCACTGTGTAACCGTACTCTACCTGTGCTTTTGTTTAAAGACGCCTCACTTATGTGGATCCGCGGCTCTAAGCTGGAACTCGGCCAGCGGCGCGCGTAACCCAGGCCCCGCCGAGCCTGCATCCTCCCCACAGGGCCCGTCACAGCCTTGGCCGGTAGGGCGCCGGGGCGCCGGCCAGCACCGTGGGGGCCATTTTAAAACAGGAGATTTACCTCCAGGAAACACAAAAATGTGACAGCGTGGCACTAAATAGGCCATGAAAAGGGCACTTGTTTTACAGTATGAACGGAATCAAGGCCGAGTGTCTCCTTGCTCCGCTCGGCTGGGAGCGGATGCCCGCTGCACCTCAGGGCCTTTGCTGCTCTGCACAGGTCTGGGGGGGACCGTGAGCACCTCCGGAACTGATTTGGGGGCTGCAAGCAGATTGTAGCGAATACGTGAGTTTGCAAATAAGGACCCCACAAACGAGGAGGCTTCACTGAACTGTGGGACCTGCACTTAGGCCTGAAGTCCTTTTCAGAAATGTCCGTGACCTCCTCAAGGTTTGGAAGCAGAGCTCACTGGGCCAGTACATGACTAAAATGTGCTCAGGGTCCTGCATAGGCCTGTTACTGATTTTTAAATAACGGAAAACACCCATCTTCAGCAAACGGGTCTCTAGAGAAGGAGTGGAGCATGTTAAATAAGACCTTCAGAGCCAGGGAAAATGCTAACGTACTTCATGTTTCGTTCTAGCTGTGGCTGGATAGTTGTGTGGTTCCGTCCTTGTCCCCTGCACCAAAGGAGGAGGACTTTTTTGCCTCACATGCTTCTCCTGAGGTATGTATTATGCGGTACATAACTTTGCAGTGTGCTTACTCTGACAGTTATAAAGCGTGTGTATTTAAGATGTGTCAGCCCTGGCTGGTGTGGCTCAGTGGATTAAGTGCCACCCTGAGAACCAAAGGGTCCCTGGTTCGATTCAGGCCAGGTCACCAGTAGGGGGCGTGTGAGGTGCAACCACTCGTTGATATTTCCCTCTTTCTCCCTCCTTTATTTTATTCTCTAAAAATAAATAAAATAAAATCTTTAAATAAAACTATGAGACTTTAAAAAAAACAAAATAAAACTTTTCAGTTAGGATACAGGCTAAGCTTCTGTGACAACCCTGAAACGGTCTCTTAACCAAGATAGAAATCCCAAAATCATTAGATCAGGGACTATAAGCCTTGAAAGCCCAGAATGTATACTGACTGGTCCTTTAAGGAAATGTGTGCCGACCTCCGACTTAAAGCCTCGGCTGCTCTGTCAGCCGCCCTGCCTCCTAGTCCCGCTAGGGAAAGGGCGCCTTTTGTGAACCGAACTGCTGTTCAATGCATTAGTTAACTCTCAGATTAAAAAAAGGTGTGACATTTTTTAAAAATAAAAAAAGATGAGGTGTGACAAAGGTTTTGGCAGAAACTGCCAAACTTTGATTTTTTTTGCTATCATAATTTGCATGTACATGTTATTATTGATGCAGTCAATAGTTACCAGAAATAGTTATCAAAAAAGAGGAGAACAGAAAACAGTAAAAAAAATAAAAAAATAAAAATAGGATAAGGTGTTCTATTGTGAGCTTTGCTGTTGTTTAATTTAGAACTAGACACAGAATATCCGTAATTAGTAGCTAAGAAATGTCAGGAATAGAAATGATGGGCTAAAAAAAGGAGAGAAATGAATAGTTTGGTGTGGGTTAGGGTTGGAGATGTCAGTAGGAATTCATGTTTGTTTTACTCTGTGTATACACACACGTACATACGTAATGGAGAGCTAATTCTAGACGTGTGTGAGGATGTGGGTTAGTACCCACATATGTGTATTGCCCAGCTCTGTCCACTGACAGGGCCTGGGGACAGTGACATTTCAGCGCAGCAAACACACCTAGCACCAGATCTTGGTTTCCAAATACCCTTCTCCAATGAAAGGAACCAGGGCCGCCGTTGGAGCAGAGGCAGACGGTAGGACTGGGGCTGCTGGGGCGGATGAGCCTGGAGCATCCCGTAGAGCCAGAAAGTGAGGAAGTGCTAGAGGGAGGGCTTGGGAAGTGGACGGGTCATGCCTGAAGGACTCGGGAGCCAGCCTGAAAGAGCTCCCAGTGGTCAAAGCTAGACCAGTTGGAACAACAAAATAAGTAATGACAATATTGAATTATAATCCAGAGGGCCCTGGCTGGTGTGGCTCAGTGGATTGAGCACCAGCCTGGGAACCAAAGGGTCACCTGGTTGGATTCTCTGTCAGCTCATGTGCTTAGGTTGCAGGCCAGGTCCCCATCAGGGGGCGTGTGAGAGGCAACCACCACACATTGATGTCTCTTTCCCTCCTTCTCCCTCACTTTCCTCTCTCTAAAAATAAATAAATAAAATCTTTAAAAAAATTTACCCATGAATTATAATCCAGAGAATGAAATAAATATCTATAAGTTCATACTGATATAAATAGATGATTGAATAAATAAATTGGGACAAGGGACAACCTTCCTTATAGAAACATTCCAAGTCATGTATAATTGATACTCCCCCTTCAGGAGGTAGAATTTTACGCCCCTGCTTTTGAGTAGGGGCCAGACTTAATGATGAGCTTCCCAAGACTGGGAAATGGAAAGGGAAATCAGAAGCTGAGCAGGAAAAGACTGACAGGCACCACTCGAACCAAGTGCTCAAGGTTAGCGTCGCCAGCGTTCAGCCATGTTGACATGAGGAGGTGAGAAGGACTCCTTACCTCTGTGGTTTCCTTTCCCTAAATCTACTCTTATCATGAGAAAACATCAGGCAAACCCAAATTGAGGGACATTCTACGAAATACCTGATCAGTACCTGTGAAAAGTTTCAAGGTCATGGAAAACGAAAGACTGAGAAACTCTTACAAACCAGGGAGTCTAAGGAGAAGTAACAAATGCAGTGTGGCATCCTGGATTGGATCATGGAACAGAAAAGAACTATCGGAGGAAAAATAGGTGAAATCCAAATAAAGTCTGGAGTTTAGCTAGTATTGTACCGTAGCAATTCTTAGTTATGACAGAGGCACCTCAGGGATTTTAACATTAAAGGCAGTTGAATGAAAAGTAAGAAACTCTGCTATCTTAAGCAACTTCTGTGTAAAACTGAAATGATTACATAATAAAGACTTCATTTTTAAAAAGGAGGAAAAGGGATGTGAGCATTGAAATAGAGACTTAAGATTAGACATGATTAATATAATATTATCCTTCCTTCCCACTAATCCAGGCTCCTTAAATCATTAGTTTTTCCCCTTCTTTGATTTGGTTTCCTTTGACCTTTGTCACTTTATTTCAGGTGAGTGGCGCAGGGTGGACCTCAGCACACCCAGAACCTTCGTCTGTTGCGCCGAGGAGCGCGGAAGCCGCCCCCGCAGGTACCGCAGGCCTGGCAGGCAGTCGCGGGGCCGTCGCAGACAGCCGTCCTGGGCTCAGGGGCGTGCTGTGTGCTCTAGGGAGTGAGGCCAGATTGGAAGGTGGACAAAGTAGATCACTGAACAGGGCGTAGGGCCTCATAGAAACATACACACACAACACATTCTGGAAGATACACACCAAATTCTTAGCTGGAGAAGGAAATTACTGAGGATTTGTACTTTTAACTTGGTACAGTTTTGAAGTGACTGAACTTTTATAAATGAGTTTCTGTTTTATAGTAAGAAAATCAGATTTCAACTTGAAAAACTTCTATAAACAGCTGATACCTAATGATTCACATTTGGTGACTTTATTGTAGGATTGTATGTATTGTAAATATACTTATATCAATTGCTCACATTTAAAAAATTGGGGGGATGAAGGTATAAGAGAACTAAATGGTAATGGGAAAAAAGATTAAAGATTAAATCCAGAAATTAAAAATTTTTAAAAAGAAAAATAAAATTTAAAAATCAGTTATGTTATATGAATAACATGGATCAAGACATCAGCTTTTTCTGATTTAAAATTGAGTGTCTTGTTAGCAAGGATGTGAGTGTAAGTGAACAACAGAAATAAAACATCGACAACTAAGCAGTGAACTCCTAGCATGTGGTACCCAAAGAAGTGCTGCCTTGTGTAAGTTGAGCCTAGAACTGCTTTAAGGAACTTAGTGTAACAGGAAGGAATGAGTAGTCCCCACGCTTAAGGCTGGGGGTACTGAGCAACTTCCTGGCAAGGATTCTGGCGGGGGGTCGGGGCAGTCTTTCACCTGTGAGAGGAGTCAGGGCGCGTGCTGTGAGGAAAGGAGTCACTTCACTTGTGGGGAGTCCAGAGGGAAGGGCGGGCGTGTCCGAGGTTCCAGCGAACAACAGGTTTCAGGATGCCTGTCCGTTCACTGGTCTGGGAGAGACTTCTCTGTGAATCAGGACAAACATTGGGCATCCTGGGGAACAATGAATGGAGCTGGGACAGATGTGTAGCATTTTTGGAAAAAAAATAAAATAAAGCAGAATTTCATCTTCACTCTTTTTCCTAAACTAAATTCAGGTGGGTAAAAGATTTAAATATAAAACATGAAAATATGAGAGTATTGAAAGAAACACGGGCGACGCTTTTCTGCTGCCCTGGAATGGGGCAGCCCTTCTCTACCTGTTCAAGCCTCATGAAGGGGAGAGATGAGGAAGTCTGACTACTGGAAGTGTAAGTCGGTGGTCTGAGGCAGTGCTTTCAAGACAAGGGATAGCAATTTGCAATGCAGTGAGCCCTGACCCGTGTGGCTCAGTTGGTTGGGTGCAAAGTGAAGTTCTCAGGTTTAATTTCCAGGCAGAGCACGTACTTAGGTTGATCGATGTTTTGCTCCCTCTCTTCCTCCCTCTCTTTCCCTCTCTTTAAAAATAAATAAAATCTTTTTTTAAAAAAATACGATTCATATACAGACAAAAAGCTTGGTTCCTTAATATGCAAAGAACTCTGACATGACCGGTTTTGTACGGTTTGCAACCTGTGATTTTTTTTTCACATTTCGTTTTCTCTGCACATGGCCCCAGATGCCTGCAATGAAGACATCGCCATACCACCGACTGGCGTTTAGTTCTTTGATTTCTTTGGCTCCCACTGCCCTGCGGCCGCCCTGGCCCTACTCCCCTTTCCTGTGTTTGCTGTCTTTGGAGTGGGACTCTGACCTGGTCAGCACGTGGCGGCCTCCTTATCGGAGTCTCAGCCGCCCGGCCTCTCCTCAAAGAGGCCCCTGAGCTCCCCAGCCACAGCCACGTCGATGCATGTCGCCTTCCTCGTGGCCTGGCACGGCTCAGCCCCAGGGACTCATGTGTCCCTAAGCTTCATGTCCATCGTGTGTCCCTTCCACTGGGCTGTGAGCACCTAAATTCTTTTTATTTAATTTTTTTTATTTATTGATTTTTAGAGAGAGAGAGAGAGGGGCATGGATTTGTTGTGCCACTTATTTTTTGCATTCATTGGTTGCTTTTTGATGTGCCGTGACTCATGATTGAACCCACAACCTTAGCATATCCTGAGCTACCCAGCCAGGGCAAAAAAATTTTTTTTTTAAGATAAGGAATCTATGTGAGCTGGTGATTGGTTTGTCATATCCATAAAGGACAAGAGAAAAACTGATTCCAGTACTCTCCTGACTGACAAGTGGAAAGGCTGGGGTTTGTAGCTTCTGAGATACAGACGATCATTTGAACATTGTTACTGTTACAATTTAGTAGCATAAAAGGCCTGTTGAGATTGAAGGTTGCCTGCCCCGGGGAGATCTAAACCTCTCAAGTCCAGGTGTCTCAGTTCCTTTTTCTAACAGAAAACTAAGGTAACTAAATATAGAGCAAGGCTTTGTCCTTGTAAATATTTTTTAGGCTATGTTCTTAGCCAAAAAACTTCTCCTAAAAGGTTTTATTTTTTAGGATCCCCATCCTTTTGTACCTGTAACAGTGCATTCCTGTCTCTTCGCCATCCAGAATTTTTTTTTTTAATCCTCACCCAAGGATATGTTTATTGATTTTAGGGGGAGGGGGAGAGATCCGTAGACATGAGAGAAAAACATTGATAGTTGTCTCCCGTACACACTCCAATGGGGGATCGAACCTGCAGTCTATGTATGTACCTTGACCAGGAATTGAACCTGCAGCCTTTTGGTGTGTGGGATGATGCTCCAACCAACTGAGCTACCCAGCCAGGGCCAGAATTTTAGTTAAGGAACTATTAGCTCTCAAGGCCTAACCCAGAATTGGATTTGCCAGCACTGGGTGACTGGCGCAGTCTTGAGTAAACTTAAGGATTGCACTATAAAAAGGGGAGAACAGCATAATTGCAACAAATAGAATATGAGGCCTTAGATACTCTGCTGGTGTGTTCTTATTCACTGCTGTTTCTCCATTAATTGCCCAGAGCACTTCCTGGCCCAGAATAGGTAACCAGCAAATTTGTGGATAGTTCTTTTTCTACAAATTATCATTGTTCTCATCCATCCTCCTTTACCTGTTTAAAAGACTTAACTAGCCCTGGCTGGTGTGGCTCAGTGGATTGAGTGCCCACCTGCGAACCTAAGGGTCGCCAGTTTGATTCCCAATCAGGGCATATGCCTGAGTTGCAGACCAAGCCCCCAGTAGGGGGCGCTGAAGAGGCAACCACACATTGATATTCCTCTCCGTCTCTTTCTCCCTCCCCCTCTCTAAAAGTGAATAAATAAAATATTAAAAAATAATAAAACAAAAGCCTTAACTAGAGTTTACCTTTTAAATATTTATAAAAATAAAACAGTTGTGTTTCCTCTGTTGGTCGTGCCCCTTTTTAAATGATAGCTTTATTGACGTGTAACTCATACCATAAAATTCACCCTTCGAAGTATGCAATTCAGTGGCATTAAGTATATTCACAAGGTTGTGCCACCCTCAGCACTAATTCCAGAACATTTTCATCACCCCACAAAGAAACCCCACACTGCCCTGGCTGGGTAGACCAGTGGGCGAGAGCGTCATCCACATATGCCACGGTTGTGGGTGCGGTCCCCAGTCAGGACACTGCAGAATCAACCAATGAGTGCTTAAGTGAAACAGCAAATTGCTCTCTCTCTCTCTAAAAAAAAGTTAAATAAGATATAACTTTACCAAAAAAAAAAGAAACCCTGTATTCATTAATAGTCACTCCCGGTCCCCTCCTGCCCCTCCCCCCCAGCCCCTGCACCCACCATTCTGCTTTCTGTTTGTAAGGGTTTGTCTACTCTGAGCACTTCACATGAATGGACTCAGACAACATATGATCTTTTGTGACCAGATTCTTGTGCTTAACATAATTTTTTATAGGGTCACCCATGTTGTAGCCTGTGTCAGTATTTATTTTTTTTTTAAGGACCAAATAACATTCCATTGCATGGATATAGTACGTGATGTTTACCTATTTTTAAAGTAATAAAGTTAAAATAACAGAATGTTTTTCAGTAAAGACTTTAATAGAGTTCTTAACCAGGATCATTTTTTAGGTCAATTAGAAAATAGGGCACATTGCTCGGCAACTGAAAATTTAGGTTTCTATCATGGATATGATTGGTGTTAGAATTTCCAAATACTACCATATGTTGGGTGTGTAGTCCATGTATATACTAGCTCTCTTAGAACAGTTTACTTTAAAACATGAGATCATAAGATAGAATTCTGAATGACATTAATCAGGGAGACCACTAACATTTTTATTCTATAAAGCAACTGGATAAAAAATGCACTTCTATTTTAATGCACTTCTAAATCAAAATTCTTGTAATGGTAAAATAGGATATGGAGGTAAAGAGAAAGGGACGCATTGACAAAATTGGACATGTAGTACTCAGCAAGTAGAATATATTACGTATTCAAAAGCAAGTTTGATAAGTATATTTTCTTCTTTAATATCAATATTTTTAACTTGCAGGTGGACCAGAGCAAGGACCAAGTGTGGAAGGTCTTAACGTCCCAACCAAGGCTGCCTTAGGTAATGTGCATGAGAATATTCTGATTTAGAGAGTGAGATTCACTGAGAAAAAAATGAATCCTGCCTTTGCATTCTGCCTAGAATTCATGGACTGTATGGCACCAGGACTATTAATCTATACTCTTAAAGAGATTTTATTCCGCCGACACGCTTGCTGATCTCTTTAAGCCGGCTAGATGGCCCAGCCATCCGCTCCTCCTGGGGGCCTGGCCGAGAGGCGGTGGGCGCGTGTGAGTTGCAGTCCTGTGCGGGGCTGGTTTGTGTTCCAGTGACAGCAGAGGTCAGGGCAGCCCCACCCTACCTGTTTATTCAGGACTTCTAGTACCTTCTCCTCCTTCTGATTTTATAATAGGTGAACTCAGTCCTTAGTTTTTCATTATCAGGGAAGTATAATCTGAAATTGGTGCTTATTACTTTGCATTCATTGGAAAACAACTGCTTTAGTCAAAAATAACTAAATTGTTAGTAGTGTTTCAGATCTTTTCATCGTGCATCAGTTGACTTATAGGAGGTAGGGAGCAGATTCTCTGAGGACCACAGCACAAACTTAGAAGTGGAGGAAAGAAAAATGTTCCTGCGTCCCTTTTTCCTACTTGAAATGGGATGATGTTATCCTCTCATTAGGGCTAAAGATTTTAATCTTTTGTTTGTGGTTTTATGCTATCTTTTCCTATTAAAGCACATTTTCAGCTTTGTAAAAAAAAATTAAGATTTAATTTTTACTGAGTCTCATTTACATGTGATTCTAAAAACAAAATATATATTCTATGACTAAAGTTTACCCAGGAAAACAATATTTTAGAATCTTTCCCTAAAAGCACTATATATTTTTTGTGCAATTTAGAAAGTACCACTACTAAAATAATATGTTGCTTTATATTTCCTACTGATTAATATGATAAAATCTGTATATAACTGAAGGTGGAAAGGCATATCCCTTCCTGCTTTAGTTATACACTTAATGCCTGGCTAAGTCTATGTTTTAAATGAATTTGGAAAGTGTTTGAAGAGCAGAGGTTGGTGGGAGAGTGTGCGCTAACTAACGCACGTGAGGCGCCCGCGCGGTAAGAAACGGGTGGGGCCGGCCCGGGCGCTTTATTTCTCCTCAGCATGGTGTTCAGAAAACATGTTTTCTGAGTGTGGGTGCTCTTGGGAATACTGGGGACCCCACTTTGATGAGACAAGCTCCATTCTTGTAAGATGCACATGTACACAGGGTGGCACCAAAGGAGGGTTAGTGCCATGAGCACACAAAACAGAGTTTATTCTTGCATTACTTTGCATGGATTACTGTGTTTTCCAGATGAACAGCTGCAAGCTTGCCTTTGCCCCACCCTACATTTGTCTTCTGGATGACAAGCTAATGTGGGAAATGTTATAGCCTCTTAAATAATAATAAACTGTATCTTAGAATTTTTTAAAAAGAAAATTAGAAATTAAAAAACATCTTAAAAATAGAAAAAAAACATATTTCTATTGGTCTGACTTTCCACTTTTTATTTTTTTGACAGAGGTTTCCTCTATCATAAAAAAGAAACCCAATCAACCTAAAAAAGGAGTGAGTATGATGTATAAAATACCTGATAGTTCAGCCCTAAAATCGCTGATGCACTTGAGAAAGCCACCCTCATCTCGTCGTTTTATTTTTATTTACTTTGATCCATATTATGTATAGTCAGTATGGCCTGGATAAAGACTCTGGCTTGCTCAGTGAGGTGAATGTCACAGCAAGTGAAGATTTTCTAGAATGCGTGCTTAACATTTTTCCTGTCAATGATGAAATTCCAATAAAACCCAATCAGCAGAGGCTCCCTAGGCGTTGCTGTCCTTGTTGCGTTTCTGTCCGCAAGGCCGCAAGGCTGTCTGGGGAGGTCTGGGGGCAGGCTCAGGGCTGAACCTGCCCCCCCACTAGCTGGCTCTGCGGCCCTGGTCAAGCCTCTTCACTTGCTTGAGTTTCGGCTCTGCCCCTGGAAACGGGAGGAAAGTGATGCCCGCTTCCTAGGGTCGCGAGGACAAGGACGAGAACAGGTGTAGGTGCCTGCCACAGTGCCCGCTGTAAACGTTAGCTGTTGCCGCAAAGTTGTCGAACAGTTTGGGTAGAATATAATTTTATGTATCTTCTAGCTTGGGACCAAAAAAGGAAGTTTGGGAGCCCAGAAACTGACAAATACGCGCTTTACTGAAATAGAAAAACAAGCCCAAGCTGCAGATAAAATGAAGGAACAAGAAGACCTGGCCAGGACGGCACCTAAGGAGGAATCAATGTAAGTTGAATTTAGTTATAGTAACAAGGTTTTAGTGGCTGGGACAGTTAACTAAGCACCTCGCAGATTTCCTTTACTAATGCTGTTTATTTTTACGTGTGTATGAGGAGGGTCACACAAAGTTTAGTTTTATGAAAACAAATATCGCTGTGATATGTGGGCTGGAAGGGAAGAGGCCACAGCAGGGGGCGCGGCGACGCTCCCTGGCCGTGGCGGGGGGAGGTGTGTCAGGACGCGCGCGCCCGTGGAAGGCGCTCGACAGCGTCAGTCATTAGGGAAACGCGCAGTGAGGCACCGCGGCGGTCACAGGAGGCCACAGCCAAGGAGGCAGACGGTAACAAGGGTCGGCGAGAAGGTAGACAGATGGGAGCCCTTATACGTCGCTTGTGGCAATGTAGAAAGTTAAACATGAAGTATGACCCAGCAGTTCGGCTCCTAAGAGAAATTAAAACGTACGTCCACACATTCACACAAAAACTTGTGCATGAGTGTTCATAGCAGCATGAATATCTACAGCCAAAAAGTAGAAACAATCCAATGGCCATCAGCTGATGAATGGGTAAACAAAATGTGGTGTATCCATACCACGGAATATTATTCAGCCATAAAAAGGAGTAAAGCACTGACTCGTGCTACAACATGGTAAACCTGGAAAAGTTTGTTGCAAAGGAGCCGGTCACAAAGACCACATAATGTGCGATTCCGTGTATATGGAATGTCCAGAACAGGCGAATCCAGAGACAGGAAGCAGAGCAGTGGTTGCCCAGGGCTGGGCGCAGGGGTAGGAGAAGAGGAGTTTTGGTAATGGGTGTGAGGTTTGTTTTGGGGGTGATGAAAATGTTCTGGAATTAGGCAGTGGGGACGATACCAACCTTATGAATGTACTAAATGCTGCTGAATGACAGCCTCTGACGGGTGGATTTAATGCTGTGTGAAGTCCATCTCAATAACGAGAAAAGGATCCATAACGCAAGGCCCTGCTGAACCTAAATTCTGAATGTGGGATGGAAGGGGGTCGGTATGGCAGTCTTCAGAGGCCCTGGGTCACAGTCGGCACAGAGGAGAGGGAGAAGAAGAGTTTATGAGCCTGAAGAGGGAATTACGGCCTACGTGCAGGGGACAGGCCTGGACTGGAAAAGCTGGAATGAGGAAGGGGACAGGGAGGGCGGGCAGCAGTTCCAGGTGCTGAAGGGAGCTTGGCGGGCAAGTCCTGGTCAGAGGGGATGGGAAGGGAGCTGGAAGCCAGGGAGCCAGGCAGGAGGCTGGTCTCAAGCAAACACTGCAGGCTCTGGAGAACTCCCCTCGTATGTGGGACACAAGGGAAGCCTGGGTGTCTGGGACGTGCCCTGAGCACTGCGAGTGGCCCCAACGAGCGCGGGCGCAGCCCGGAGGGAAAGGCAGCTGGGCGTCCTCTCCCTGTGCATTTGTTTCGGTTACGTGGCGTTTCTCTCCTTTTCGCGTGTATTTTATCAGTTTTAGCTTGAATGGTGACAGACTGCATGATGAAAACAGTACTTCTTACTGTATGAGGTGGTTTTGAGGATTAACTTGGTTAATGTACATTACAGTGCCTTAAACAGAGCCTGGCACTCAGAGCCCAGTTGGGATACCTTACCGTTCACACCAACAGCTGGCCAAGTGGGGCCGGTATGGTGAGCCCAGGCCACTAGAAATTGTCATTTCTCACGGTCATTTAAGTCCTAGAATATAGTGGGCAGCACTAAATTGTATTTAGGTTTAAATGTGGTTCGAAAAGATTTGTATGAAATGTCGGTTGTCTCAGACGTCACTTGACTTTCTCTGACTAAGCTCGGTGTTTGGCCCTGGCAAAGGGGGAGGCTAAGTCTGAGTGTTCCCATGGCTTCTCTGGGCCGTTGGGGGAGGGCTCTGCCACAGGGCGCAGGCACCGCCTTCCCCGGGGGCGCGCCCACCGCGGGCCCACGGCCCCCTCCCCGCAGGCAGGTGGATGGAGGCTGGTTATTAATGTTGGAAGCAACGCCGGCCTTGACGCGTAGCTTTCACTAGGACTGTTTGATGCGCCGTGAAAGCAGAGATGCGGCCGTGGGGGATCTGTGTTTCATTGGGGAACCCCCGGTGGCAGCTCTCTTGGCCCTGTCCAGAACGGCCGCACACGGAGCCTAAAGCCCTGTCCTGCCTCTCAGGCCCGTCGCAGCTCAGGTTCACCGCCTGGCTCTGTGCCCGCTGTGAGAAGGGGCGCATGTTGTCCTTAAGACGTGAGAATGTTATTCTTCTGCAAGTTAATGGAGTTATAAGCTTCATTAAAGTAAATAAAGTTATTTCGGTTCAGTAAACTGCCAGGAACAGTGTTGGTTCTAGTATTACCAGACTGTGAAACTAAGCCGTCCTCCAGCAGCCTGACCCCTGCCTTCTGGCAGGCCCTCCGCCCACGCCGAGGGGGCCGTGCGCAGCCCGCAGGGGGCCGTGGGCATCCGCAGGAGGTGGGGAGAGCCAGCGCTCCCCGCCGCCTGAGCTGAGTGTCTCCCACGCCCTCCCCACCCTCCCCCAGGCCGGTCCTGGGAAGGGCTCCAGCTGACTCCTTAAGCCCATTAGTGCCCCCAGAGCACGACGGGTCACAGCGAGCCGGACGTTGGCCCGCGCGCCCCTCGCGAGGGACAGGCCGTCCTGGGGCAGACGTCCTCAGGAGGCCCGCTGCCTGGCCGGCCTTTTTCATTCCCGTCCGTCTTCTCCAGAAGAATCTGCTGCTACAGTGGTATCTGTTCCTGATTTTAAACAGACCTATTGTTTCCTTCCCAAAATTATGCTTGAAAGAGTATTTTTTTTTCCCTGAGTAATAAAATGGGTGTATTGCCATAGCCTGTGCCGCAGGATGAAGAGTAAAGAAAACAAACAGCCAGATTAAAACAGAATGAAGAGACCCTGCTTGACTCATTAAGGAAGGAAACAGTAGATGCAAGATTATTCTTCCTTAGCAAGAAATTCTGTTGCTGTTCCCTGTTACTACACGGAAATGCATTTATATTATTAGGAAATTTACATAGCACCTTGCTTATGCGGAATTCACAACATGCTATGCGAGTTTATAAAATGGACGACAGCTTAAAAATGCCAATATGGTAGACAGGTCGCTCTTCTGGGCCCTGAAGTTTTGTTGCTCTCTTACTAATATGATAAAATGCTCTTGTTATTGCCAAAATGGGCATAGTTTTCTTTATGAGAAATGAAGTATTTATAGTACTTTCAGAAATCTGAGAATAAGAGACAGTGTTTTATACATCTTTTTGCCCCTTTCGGTGCAGCATTTTTAACAGGAATTGATAAAGAGGCCCTCAGTTTCTGACTGGTCGTACAGAAAAGCCTGTTGGCAGAGGAGTGATTGTCTGTTTTAGATGCTTTCAGAGGCCTGGTTACATGAAGAGAACCTGTGGGAAATGTTCTTGTAAATTGAAGCATCTGTTGCAATTAGTAACCCCTTCTTAATTCATATATGTGTGAAGTCAAGTGTGTATGTATTTTTATCCTAAACCAATGAACTAACCTCACACTTTGATGTGTAATGTGGAAATAAAATATCAGTCCAAGTAAAAAATTCTCTTTTTTAATATCCTATATAGAAATAATTTTGGTGTACATTGTCATATGTAATAGGTCGTATAAGTTACTATCATGTGGTAATAGATAATGTGGTAATAGATAAACTAGGACAGTGCTGTAGGTTCAGCATAACCAAAAAGTGATATAAACTCACTTACATGACCTTGAGCACCTACTCAACAACAGCCTTTAAAAAGTGCCCCCTTGCCCTCATCATTGTTAATTATGGAGAGAAGCACAAAGCTGAAAGTATAAGTGACATGTTTAATTTTGCTGAGTATTTCAAATGGAGAGCACGGATTTAAAGCTGAATTAAGGAGCCTTTGGTTTTCTGGCAGTGTTTCATCCTTACGATTGGCCTATAAGGACCTTGAGATTCAAATGAAGAAGGAGGAAAAGGCGAACCTGAGCGGGAAGAAGAAGGCGGAGTCCGAGAGGCTGGGCATGGGGCTCGGCAGCAGCAGGAGGTAGGACCGCTGTTGGAGCGCAGCTTCAGAGCTTCAGCCAGCTCGCCAACCCTGGGTGGAGTTTTCCTGTTATTTTCCACCTTAACAGTATTTTCTCAGTATTCCCTCCTTTTCTCGATTGTTTCGCTTTACGCTGGTGTTCGATGTGGCCTGGAAGCTCCCAGGCTTGATTCTCCGGAAATGGGAGCTCGGTCCCACTCATCGCTCGGCAGGCGCCTCAGCAGCCCTGGAGTGTGTGACTGTGTCTTGTGGTATTCGTTACAGTCCTCACTGCTGTCCATACCAAAAAAAATAGTTTTATTGTTCCTGTTTTTAACCTTACCAATCAATTAATTGTTGTTGAGAGTATAGATGAAAACATTCCTCGGTGAACACAATTGTCTTTATGAACTAACTAACATAATTTTCCCCCTTTTATTCTGTTTTTTCAAGTGGCATTTCACATTCGGCAACTGCGGACATGCAGACCATCGAACAGGAAACGCCGGCCACGGCAAAGCCAAGGAAAAAGTACAGCGATGACAGCGATGAGTCGTGTTTTACTTCGAGGTAATCTGTTCAAAGTCATCACTAAGGCGTTGTTCTGAAAAGCAGCAGTTGGTGTGAACGTACTTATTTATTTGCAGGAGGAGCAAATACAAATCAGTTTACTTCACTGTTTTTAAAAGCTTTGGCTGGAGTCAGGGGTGTCCTTCGGAAAAAACTAGGGAAACGATTAATATTAAAATGTTCGATAACAAGATAGGAAAGTTGTGCTCCTCTGAAAGGGGAGACAGGAGAAATGTGCACACCCCTGCCAGCGCGCGCCGTGTTGTGGGCATCTCGTAGCCGAGCCTTTAGCTGACCCGCTCTCATTCAGGATGCCAGCCCAGGCCTCCCTGGGCAGCCACGCAGAGTGTTCAGTAAATTCTCCTTGTGTGTGTGTGTGTGTGTGTGTTAATAAAAACACTGTTGTCAGCCCTGGCTGGTGTGGCTCTAGTGGATTGAGTGCCAGCCTGTGAACCAAAAGGTCACCAGTTCGATTCCCAGTCAGGGCACAGGCCTGGCTTGCAGGCCGGGTCTCCAGTAAGGGGTGTGGCACAGGCAACCAATTAATGTATCTCTTGCGCATGGATGTTTCTCTCCCTCTCTTTCTCCCTCCCTTCTCCCCTCTAAAAATAGTTTTTGAAATCTTTTTAAAAATAAATAAAATAAAAACCACTGTTGGTGCCCTGAAGAGCTCGCAGGATAAGCCTGTCCCTGAGCACTCGCCATCTGATCAGACGAGTTGCCCAACACAGTGCAAAGCTGCCGTGGAGAGCGCGGCGGGTCAGGCTCCGGCGGCCTGCGGGGCAGGGAGAGTGGGTTTGGACTTAAATCGTCTCACTTGGGAGGCTCCTCCAACAGCCTGCCCGGCACAGAGGGGGTCCTGCTAAAGGCGCTCCAAGTAAACTTGGGGCATTACTGGTGAGGGCTGAGCATGTGGGCCCGGGATCCAGGCGGCCTGGACCTGAATCCTGGCTCTGCCACCCGATGACGGTGTGACTGTGGCCACAGTGTGTAACCCCTCTGTGTTGCATCTTCCCCGTCTGGACATTAGGGACACTGGCAGCGTCCGCCTCACAGCATAGTGCAGGGTCCAAGGACTTAATGCACACAGAGCGTTTGGGATGGTCCTTGTCTATAATTAATGTTATTTTGCCTGCTGTTACTCTACATAAACCCAATTCAAGAGACGTGTGACTCAATCTAAATGTTTAATCACTATTGTTAGACACTTAAATAAATCACAGGGAGCACCACCTTCATGTTAACAGTTTGGGGAACTCAAATGTGCGCCTGTCATTAGCGGGTGGTGCTCACGGGCCAGGTCCCGTCGCGGTCCCGTCGCAGCCACGTCGAAGGGCTGTGGGGTTGCGTGGCAGTCACAGACAGGCTTGGCACGGCCTCAAGTATGGGACACTTGTGTGTCCATTTTTCTCTTGTCCAAGCTCCTGGAGAGTGCTATCCTTGAAAACCTCTCTTACTATAGCTTCGGATTATTTCAAGTCCAGATATTTTACCAGAAAAAAAAAGTGGCAGTTTCTGTGGTGTCCACTGTCAGCGCTTCAGAGAGCCAGAGGCTTCCTGTTTGCCTGTTGTGGGTAAACGGTGCGACTCACCAGCTTCAGCTCGCTTAGTGGGGACACCCGAGCCATGCCCTCAGAAAGTATTTCTGTACTTGCCCTGCACGGCAAAGGAAGTGCTGGGCTTGGTGTGCGAGTTACGTGAGGGTCCGCACGTATCAGCTGCGCGCGGGGCCAGGGAGTGCGTGTGGTCGGAGGACTCGGGGTAGTGGTACGGGTTCGCCTTCCGCCCCTCAGAGAGTATAGCCAGCAAACCTCGGGTTAAGTCAGTACTGCTGCTGCGCGGCCCGGTGGGAAAGGGGAGCGGCCCTCAGACGCCTCTGCAGCGCATGCCTGCCTCTGGCCCCCCACGGGCTCCCGAGGGCTTTGCCCGGCTGCTGGCAGCTCGGGACTGCTGCCGGCCTCTCCTCCGGTCGCTTGGTCGGGAGAGTCAGCCCTAAAGGCCTTCGTTGCTATGAAACAATTATTTATGTTTGAAACCAGGAGCAGATGGTGTTTTTATACAGACTACACTTGCTGGATTTCTGCCAGCGAGACCTTGGTGTGTTGTTTATCGTGAGGAAGCACTGGCCTTGTCTAGGCCTAGGTCGTAACCACTGTGAGCAGAGCAAGGACGCTCTCAGGCCTCGGCAGCTGAGGTCACAGCCACCTGACCTTTTAGAAAGCAAGCATATTAGTTCCATGAAGAGCTCTCATTGCTTTCAAATTATTCATTAGCCCATTAGAACTTGAATAGTATGAATTATGAAAGAGTGCTGTTTCTATTAAAAATAAGATCAGCCATATTTTTGTTTTCTGTTTTTTATTGAGTTCCATTATTTCCAGGACATAGACAATGTAATTGTGCATTGAGTACAACAGGACGGATCTAGAACAGCTCGCCCAGCCTTCTAATGTCAGCGTGGCCCTCGGGGCGGGTGGTTGTCTGTGGCTCTAACTCAGATATGCGATGTGCGGGGGCTCTCACCTAGGGACTTTAAGGGATGTTTTCAGGGTTGAGAAAGATGGAGGAGGAGGGCAAAATTAAAGAGAAAAGCATTGAGAACTAGGATCTAGAAATCACAATGTTAGAAAGTCAGCCAAGATTTGGAGATGAGATCTGGAGACTGTCGTGTTTCCGAGGGAAGGCGAGTGCACCGTGGCCATTAGTGGCCCCGTTGCCTCGTCCTCCCAGGGGTAGCCGGGAGCCTGGCCTGGCGTCTCTCTGTCCATGGTCAGCTGCCGCGCCGCCTGCGCCGTGTGCGAGCCCAGGGAGCCTCCCACAGGGGCGAGTGGGGAGGAGACTTCGCCACCCCAGTGCTTGGAACGCTACAGAACACGCAGCAGCTATTGCTAGTCAGTAGGATCCCAGCAGGGCAGCCCTCTCTCTCCTGTTTTTGAATAATTCAGTCATTTTCTTAAAATCTGATGCCACTTTGTTCCAACACTTTGGTTTATGTGAATGAATATTTTATTTCCTTGCAGTGATATTAAATCTGCAAAATCCTAACTCCCAGTACCTCAGAGTTTTGAAGAACCTGGAAGTTCCAACCACCTCCAGCCCCGTGTCCCCCTACCCACCCCGCACCCTCCAGGGGACTGTGCAGCCCCCTCCACTTCCCCCTCCTCGGTCTGTTCATATTTGCTTATCTCCCCAGGTTCCTGAGCTCATATCCGCCAGCCCAGCAAGGGCAGGGAGATGTCTCTGCCCTGTATCCTCACCTAAAAGGGCACCAGCCCTTCGCAGGAGTTTAGAAAATACTCTTTAAGTTCCTCATTGAATCGGCCTTAGTTCCTTCCCCTGGGCCCTTACAAATAAGTTCCTCAAATATTTGAAGTTAACTCTCCAGGCCAACACAATCCCACGTCTTTCAAACCCTCTTTCCCTGGCGTGACGTCAGGTGGCTTCATCATCGTCCTGGTCTCTGCCCTGAACGGCTGTGGCTGGTTGTTCCTCCGAGCAGAACCCACGGCCCCTGCCCCCCACCGCCCCCTAGCCCCACCGCTGGCCAGTGCAGGGAGAGCCCCGGGGCCTCCACTGGGGCCCAGTTGCACTCTTCCTGCCGGAGGGAAGGCCAGTGCGGCGACGCTCGCTCCTAATGGCCCTTTTGCCAGAGAAAGCAGAAACCGCATCTGGAGACTCTGCTCTCTCTCTTACCCATGGAAGTTCACACCGTCTGCCTCAAACAGCAGGTTCCCGCCCCGGCCCCGCCCCCCCCCCCCCCCCGCTTCTTTTTTCCTACCAGGAAAAAGAGTATATTTGTTCTTGGCTTCCCCCCAAGTCTTAGCTGACCAGGGCCCCTGCCTGTTTGTTTTTATATTCATCTTTTTTTTTTAAAAAAGATTTTATTTATTTTTAGAGAGAAACACTAATGTGTGAGAGAAACATCGATCCGAGCCACCTCCCACATGCCCCCCGAGCGGGGCCCTGGCCCTCGACCCAGGCCTGTGCCCTGACTGGAAATCAGACAGGCAACCTTTCGGTTCACAGATCGGCACTCAGCCCACGGAGCCCCACCGGCCAGGGCTGTTTGGTGCCCCCTTTGATGACAGGGCCCTCTGCCCACCCAGGCCGTCTGCCTCTGAGCAGCCCCTGATGGCGTCGGAGCTGGTGCTCACTGGTTTCCTTGTGTGGCTGATCTGCCACAGGCCTGGGTGGCATGTGGGAAGCCACCGCATTCTCTCCCATTGTCCTTCCTGTCCCAAAACCCAGGCCTTGGAGGCTGCCTCTCTCTTCTGAACTCCTTGAATTCCAGCTTTTGCAGGAGTGCGTATCTAGCTGGGCTTTCCTATCCTAAGCTGTCATGGATTCCAAGATGGCACCGTCACATTTCATTAAGGCTCTGATGCACCCACCTCACCTACCAGCTTCTGTCCTGCTCCAGCAGAGCCTGCCACGCGTGGTCAAAGATTTCTTTTTTTTTAGTCCTCACCTGAGGATATGTTTATTGATTTTTAGAGAGAGAAACATTGATGTGAGAGGGAAGTATCGCTCAGTTGCTTTTCATATGTGTCCTGACTGGGACTCAAACCCCCAACCCTTTGATGTGCGGGACACTGCTCCAGTCAGCCGAGCCACCCGCTGGAGCACGGTGGTCTGAGCGTCTTCTCTCACTGCGCAGGACCAAAAGCTGAGCCAGGGTTGAGCTGGTCTCCGGGCAGCACCCGTGTCGGTCCTGGTCAGCTAATTAAAGAGTACACTGCCCAGAGGGCAGCATCTCCTCCGAGAAGCTTGCAGGTCCAGCTCGCAGCTCCAGCCGCAAGGAGCCTCTGCATTATATCCATTTCAGCACTTTGTAGCTTTGTGCTGTGGCCCCAGAGGAGGCTAATTAACACCGCTTACCTGGAATGGCAGTTGTTGGGAGGACTGAAGCCCTGTCCTGCGGCTCCCGTGGCAGGGGTCGCCAACAAGGAGCTCCTCGCATGCGGTCCGTTCCCAGGCCCAGCGACGTCTCCTTGTGACTGCCTAACTTGGCAGAACTGGACGCCAGGAAAATGAAATGCGTAGTACCCAGAACGGGAAAATGAAATAATCGGGGTGGGTGACACTTAAAGATGTCATGTGCTATTGGGATAGACTAGGTTATGCTGCAGTGACAAACATCCCCCCAGATGTGAACACAGCCAAGGCTTACCCTTGTTCACTGAAGTCAGCTGAAGGTGCAGGTGATTGTCCAGACCGCCCGTCCTTCGGTGGCACCCTGATCATCCAGATAAATAGAGGCGTCCCCTGCCTGAGGTTGCAGCCGCTGGAAAACAGCGGAAGAGGGGACAGACGCATGGAGCACAGTGACCTCCTTGGCAATGACTCGCCTCCTTTCCGCTCCTGTCTCATTGGGCAGGTCCCACGGCTGCCTCCCCCCACCCCCCTGGGGAGCCGGGGCTTGCAGTCCCCGCTCGCCCGGCCTGGGTGGGCTCAGCAAGGTCCTCCCGAGTCACCGTTCCTCCCTTCGTCTTACAGGTACTTCGATGAGCCGATGGAGTTGAGGAGCAGCTCCTTCTCTAGCTGGGATGACAGCTCCGATGCCTATTGGAAAAAGAAGACCATCAAAGACACTGACCCGGCTCTGAACACCACAGGCTCCCCAGACAGGTGCGAGGGGCCAGAGAGCGGGGCTGTCCTCTCTGGGGAAAGTCCCTGGGGCTCGTGAACGATTTCATTCTACTGTTGGAAGAATATTCTTGGCATCCCGGGCTGTTTCCTGACCTTAGCTTTCCCAGAATGCGCTATAAATGGAAGGATGTGGCATCAATCCATTTAGACTGGTCTGTTTGACTTCTCCTGGTGCCTTGAGACTCCTGCCTGTGCTTGTGCTCGTGCCTCCTTATCATGGAGTCCGCTTGCCCGTTCACCACCAATGGTCTCCAGCTGGGGGCATTATGAATGAGGGACTGTTTAGTTTATTGTCCGAACCAGGGAGCATTGACAGCGCAAGGTGATGCTAGCAGGTCACCGCGGTCCACCGGTGTAACTAGGGATTGTCCCGGGACACTGGATGTACACGCTCATCCTGTGTCCCCTGTGACGTGGAGCCGCATCCCGCGTGCATCACAGCGTGTTCAGTATTTACTAACTGACCTGTGGAGCTGACGGTGAAACGACAGCCTGTTTCAAATGGAAAATTCCTTCAAATGTTGTGTGGTTTGGGTGTGTATTGATTTTTTTTTAACTAGAATTTTCAGGCTTTTTTAAAGTGGCCTGTCAGCTTTTATAGAACGTAAAGTGGCATCTCTATACATTATAAATAAGAACACATTTGCCTCACCTCAAATTAGTTTAACCTATTTTGCTGGGGGTTTTTTTTGGGGGGGCGAGGTGTGTGTGTGTGTACGTACACGCTGAGAATACAAGATCTACTCTCTTAGCAAATTTCAAGTGTAGACTACAGTATTGTTAACTATAGTCACCATGCTGAACATTAGGTCCCCAGAACATATTCATCTTATAAATGAAAATGTGTGCCTTTGACCAACGTCTGCCCGTTTCCACAGCCCAGCCCCTCCCCCACCATTCTACTCTGTTTCTGAGTTTGACTTTTTAAAAAAATTTTGGATTCTCCTTATAAATGAGCTCACATAGTATATGTCTTCTCTGGCTTATTTAACTTAACAGAATGTCCTCCAGATTCATCCATGTTGTCACAAAATGTCAAGGTGTCGTTTCTTATGGAAAGTGATATCCCACTGTGTGTGTATGTGTTATACCTCTCACAGTTTCTGTACCCATTTCACCCGTTGACAGACGCTGGGGTTGTTTCCACGTCCTGGCTTTTGTGAGCAGTGCTCCAGCGAATTGCAGCTGTCTCTTACTTCTGTTTTCTAATTTTTGGGAACCTTCATACTGTTCCTGCAGTGGCTGTGCTAACCGCCCCGCAGCAGTGTGCGGGCTCCCTTGCCTCCCATCCGCACCGCACGCAGCGCTGTGGTTTTGCTTTGCAGGTACCGGATGACTGATAGTGCTGAGTGCCCTTGCGTGTACTTGTGGGCCAGGAACTTTCTTCTTGGAACTGCTTTGCTGCCTCCCATAAGTTTCAGTGTGTTGTGCTTCTATTTTCATTTGTTTCAAGACTTTTTTTTCTTTATTTCTCCTTTGACCCTGTGGTTGTTCAGGAATGTGTTCATTTCTATCTACATATTTGTGACTTTTCCAGTTTTCTTCCTGTTGCTGATTTCTACTTTCATATCATTGTGGTTGGAAAAGATACTTAACATGATTCCATTCTTTTTAAATTTGTTAAGACCTAACATGCGATTTAAATTTGTTTTGTGAACTAATGTGTGATTTATCCTGGAGGATGTTCTATGGGCACTTCAGATGCACATTCTTCCACTTTTGGGCGGAATGTCCTGAATGCCTGTTGGTCCTTTTGGTCTAATGTTCAGTTCGAGTCCGATTTTCCGTATTGATTTTCTATCTGGGCGATGTGTCCTTTGTTGAAAGTGGGATATTGAAGTCTATCATCATTGCAACACTGTAGTTTCTCCCTTCAGATCTGTTAATGCTTGCTTAACATATTTAAGTGCTCCCATGGTGGGTGCATATATATTTACAACTGTTATATTCTCTTGATGAATTGACCCCTTTATCATTGATGACCTTTGTCTCTTGTTACAGTTTTTGGCTTAAAGTCTATTTTGCCTTATAGAAGTACGGCTATTCCTGCTCTCCTTTGGTTTCCATCACATGGACTATCTTTTTCCACCTCTTTACTTTCAGCCTATGCATGTCCTTAAAACTGCAGTGAGTCTCTTGTAGGCAACATGTAGTTGTGTCTTTCTTTTTTTTTTTTTTTTTTATCCTTGCCTGAGGACATGCTTATTGATTTTAGAGAGAAGAGAAGGGAGAGAGACAGAGAGAAAGGGGAGAAAGATTGATCAGTTGTCTCTCGCATGCGCCCGAGGGACCAGACCCACAACCCAGGCATGTGCCCTGACCGGAACCAAACCCACGACCTTTTGGTTTTCAGGACAACATTCCAACCAACTGAGCCCCACCAGCCAGGTCTCGTTTTTTTTGTTGTTGTTTTGTTTAATCCATTCAGCCAGCTCTCTTTTGATTTTTAAGAATTTAATCCATTTACATTTAAAGTTACTATTGATAGGTAAGATAACTATTGCCATATCATTGTTTTCTACTTATTTTGCAGTTTTCTTATTCCTTCCTCTCTTGCTGTCTTTGTGATTTTATTCCTTTCTCTTTGTCTTTTTGTATCTACTATAGGTTTTTTGTTTTGTGATTGCCATGAGGCTTAGGTTAAACATAGTTATAGCAGCATATTCTAAGCTGATTAACAACTTAACTTGGATTATATACAAAAACTCTACCTTTTACTCTCCCCACCTACATTTTATGTTTTTAGTGTCGCAAACTATTGTTGCTATAGTTATTTTTACCACTTTTGTCTTTTAACCTTTATACTAGAGTTAAGTGATTTACATGTTGCCGTTATATAGAGTATCCTGCACTTGACTTTACCAGTGAGTTTTACGCTTTCATTCGTTTTCACGTTACTGATTAGCAGCCTTTCATTTCCGCTTGAAGAACCCCTTTCAGCATTTTCTGTGAGACGAGTGCAGTGATGGGCAGCTTCGTCCCTTCTGCACTTCGGATGTGTCGTCGCTGCCCCCTGGCCCTCCAGGGTCCTGCTGAGGAGCCTGCCAGCGCCCTCCCCGAGTCCCAGCGCTGGGGGTGTGCTCCTTCGCTCTTGCTGCTCTCAAAATTCTCTTTGTCTTTGATTTTTGACAGTTTTATAGAGTGTGTCTTGGTGAAGACCTCTTTGGATTGAATCTGTTGGAGGATTTATCAGCTTCATCTGCCTGGAGGCCCGTCTCTCTCCAGGTCGGGGAGATGTTTAGCCGCTCTTTCTTTAAATACACGGTCAGTCCTTTCCTCCCTCCCGTCCTCTCAGCCTCCCCTAATGCATCAGCTGTTTGCCTGATGGGGCCCCATCACTCATGTCGGCTTTCTTCGCTCTCCCATCCTTTTTTTTCTCCTCTGATGGATAATTTAATATAAACTACCTTTGAGGTCACAGGTTCTTTCTGCTGCTTGATTAAGTCTGTTGTTGATGCTCTCTGTTGCATTTTTTTTTTTTTTTTTTATAGTATTCTTCAGCCCAGAGGGTTTTTTTGGTCCTGCTTTGTGATTTCTGTGACTCTTCAACTTCCCTTTTTGTGTGCGTATTGTGTTCCAGGTTTTGCTGAGTTGTCTGTCTGTGTCCTTGTGGGTGGCTTAGCTTCTTTACAACAAGGATTTTGGATCCTTTGTCAGGCAGTTCTTTGGGGCCTGTTGCTGGGAAGTTAGTGTTCCCTTTGTGGTGTCACCTGTCCTTGATTTTTCGCGTTCCTCAGAGTCCTGTGCTGCTGTCCTTGCACTTGAAGAACCAGTCACTTCCTGCATAACTAACGACTTGCTGGCTTTGGGTGCCGAGTCCCTTTGACAGTCGGCCCTGCTGGGCAGCCTGAGGCTTTCTCAGGCCCTTTCTGTGGGTGCCCCCACTCCACACGTCTGTTCCCCTCCTGGGTGGACTGTTATGACGGTGTATCTTCTCTCAGTCCCCCCACGCCAGGCCGGGCACTGCAAGTGCCCCGTCTGCTTTCCTAGGATGGGGCCCTGAAATGCGCAAGGCCACGTGCTGTCTCCCAGCCCCACCGCAACGGGCTCACCCTGCCCTCCGCATGCGCAGGGCGCCGGCTCTGGGGGCGGGGGTGTTGCACGGGCGAAGCACACGAGCACTGCATGGCGCCAGTGGGCCGCTGGGGAGCTCCGCAGGCGGGATGCACCAGCGGTGCGCGAGCGGGCCTCTTCATGTGGTCTGCCGTGCGTCCAGCAGGGCCCATGGGCCTTCGATGAGTTCCCCAGCCCTCGGCCATGTCCCGCGCAGCTGGGGAAACCAGGCAGACGCGCACCGCCCTCTCACTCGCCCCCATGGGAGAGCGTGGGCCAAGCGGTCTCCCTCGTCTCAGAGCTGTGCCGCCCTGAGGGAGGGACACTGCGGGCCAAGCGCAGCTGCTCCCCTTACCTTCTTTACTGTGCCCAGTCATGGAGTTTTTGCCCCAGTGGTGTGCTGGGACCTCTCTGCTGGACTCCTGGACTCCCGCAAAGGTGGCGCGACCTGTGGGAGGCTGTCCAAGTCACTGTTCCTAGCAGGATGGGGGTAGAAAACTGTTCCGCCAGCTTACTGCTCTCCTATTTTCGCTGTTTCTAATTGTAGACCTACTACTCGCCGCAAGCCTGACTATGAGCCAGTTGAAAATACAGATGAGGCCCAGAAGAAGTTTGGCAACGTCAAAGCCATTTCATCAGATATGTACTTTGGGAGACAAGCCCAAGCCGAGGTGAGTGTCAGAGAGCTTCTGTGCGGGCCCATGGAGCAGGGCCTGGGGCTGCGAGGAGCCCCGCACCCCCAGAGCTGGAGGCCGGACCCATGCCCGCCCAGGGCCTTCTGACGGCCGCCACTCCTCGCTGCCCCAGCTGCGGCAGTGGCTGAAGGCAGGGCCTGTCTCCTCCGCCCCTCGCTCCATTCGTGGTGTCGTGAACAGCCATTCATTCATTATCTTTTGAACAAACTCATGGCAATTCTGACACAGCTGTAATTTACTTAACAACTTTTAAGAGCAGTTAAATGAAGTATGTAGTTGTGTTTTTGGAGGGTAGGTATGTTTATTTTCAGGTTGTTGCATCACTTCTCGGGAGTGTTAGTGAGCTGTCTGCGTGGAGCCCTGCTAAGCAGCAACCCTCAAACAGCAGTGGAGAGGCGTGGGCTTCCTCCCCCACCCCCAGGCGCTCATGTGCTGAGCTTTGGAGCCGGGTGCGCCACCAGGCTTCTTGGACCATCCAGAGAAGCTTTCCTAAAGTGTACTGATTTGATTTTGTAGCAGTAGAACTTTCACCGCATTTTAAGATTGTGTGGCCTATGACCGGTGTGACTCAGTTGGGTGTTGTCAGTTCGAGTCCCAGTCAGGGCACAAGCCTGGGTGCGGCTTCAGTCCCCAGTCAAGGCACGTACGAGAAGCAACCAATCGATGTTTGTCTCCTTCTCTTTCTCTCTCCTTTCCCCTTTCTCTGAAAATAAATAAATAAAATCTGTTTTAAAGAATAAATATTTAAAGTGCCACCAGGCCCCCGCCCCTCGGCTCCGCCTGGCTCTGAGGAGCAGCGTGCAGGGCAGCCACGAGACACGGGGCGGGCCTGGGAGAGGGCCTCCGGGGGGCCGGGGGTGAGAGCAGCCCCGCGACAGCGGCCTCGCTCTCTTGTCTCGCTCTGCATGGCCCTGCGCGCCGGTCACGGGCCGTGCCGGTGTTCGTTGGCCTGTCTGCCACCTCCCCGGCCTGAGCAGCAGGCCACCAGCCCTGCGTGGCAGTGGCCTTCAGCAGCTGTTGGAGAGAGAGCCTAGGGGACACGTTGAAATGATAGTCCCTGGATGAGTCTTTCTGTAAATTGCTCATGGTGTTTGGAGCCTGATGTTCCCCCTTCTGATCTTGCCTAGTACGAAACCCGGGCGCGGCTGGAGAGGCTTGCGGGGAGTTCCGCCATAAGTTCGGCCGATCTGTTCGATGAGCAGAGGAAGCAGACGGCAGGTAAGGGGGGCAGCCAGAAGGGCTGGTCCGCGGGTGTCTGTGGCGGGAATACATGTTCTCCACAGGGGGCATTTTACTTTCCCAAGACCATCAGCCACCGTTATTTGATCTCTTACCTCCCCTGCAAGTCAGGTAAAGTGGAAGTTACTATTCCAGGCTTAGCACGTGAGGAAACCAAGTCCTGTGATTAGGCAACATCCCCAAGCTACTGGCAGGTCATCTTCCTGAAACACTGTCACAGATGAGTGTTCCCAGCACAGTGTGAATGTGGTGTCTGATCCGGGTGGTGTCACAGTCCTGGGCTCCCAGGTGACACGACCACTCCCTGCCGGGACACTTTGAACATTTCATGTCGCTTTCAGCCTCAGTCCCCTCTGGAAAGCAGGTGGATAATACCTACCTCAGACGGTTGCACTGAGGCTTAAATGGGATCCTATACAGAAAGTGCCCCCTGGGCCAGGCCATTGGCAGACCCTCCCAGCCCCCTCCAGGCCCCAGGGGAGACAGAGCTGATGGAGCAGATGACTCCACCAGCCACACTCCTCTGGGGCAGAGTACAGGCAGGTGGAGAGGAAATTCCTTTCTCCCCCCGCCCCGCCCCGTCCCTCTTCCGGACTTCAGTGGGAAGGTGGCTGGGAGCCCCAGCAACTGAGCCTGAGAGCTTAGATCGTTAGGATTAAGTAAGTAAACTCACAGTGACAGAGGCTAACTCAGATCTGAGTTTGTTCCTCTCGAGCACGGTCTGGGGAGGCAGTTGGGGGCTGGTGCACGGCGTTCCCTGGTCAGGAACACAGGCCTCTTTCATCTTGTTGTTCATGACCTCCATTCTCTACCTCACCTCATGCCCAACATGGCTGCACCAGGCTAGCCATCCCGTCCGCATTCCAGCTTGCGGGAAGTAGGAAGAGGAAAGGCGAAGGGCACACCCGGCCCTGCAAGGCACTGTTGCCTACATCCTCGTGACCAGAACTCTATCACTTGGGCATATATTGCTGCCAGGGTTAGAACTCAGGAGTCCTGTACAAAGAAGAGGAGGAGAGGAATGACATGGGGGTGCTGTTAGCCACCTCAGGGCACCTGGGGACTGAACGTAGTCAGGGAGAGATCGCTGCCCCCCAGCAGGTCTCCCGGACCCAGGGCGGGTTCTGGGGAGGAGCCGCATGCGGGAAGGGCCCTCGCCCGGCCTCAGCTGTCCTCTCCTCTGTAAACACGCCCCGGGCTGGGAGTTTGTCGTCAGTGGAGGTACTTCCTCTGAGGTCACCGCCGCTGACCTCTGGCCCACACCCACGCAGCCATGTGGGACCTCTCTGCGTAACGGTGACCCCGGATCCTGGCCTTCACGCTCAGGATCCCACACAGGCTCCTAGTTTACTGGAAAGGCCCACTTTACAGGCGGGCAGCACAGTTGCTGAGTGACCGGGTTGGGATTCGAACCCAGATCCCGTCATGGGGCTGGGCTTCTGCTCTGTTGTTGGCAAAAGCCTACAAAATTTTAGAGTCTGCTGGAGGCGGAGGGGGGAAGACCCTGCACGCACAGCGCTGCCCGCATGGTGGGCCTGGGAACAGCGCGGCCGGAGGACACAGCCTCTCCCGGCTGCTGTCCGTGCAGGGGGATGAGCGGGTCCGCGCTCTTTTGTTCTTGGGAAGGGACCTGGCCTCTGTCATCTGGGGGCAGGCGGGTGTGGGCAGGTCAGGTGGCAGGGGCCTAGGGGATAGCTGGGCTTGGCCCCCAGAGGACCCGCGGTGTTTGGGTTCACGCGCAGTCCTCGAGCCCCCCAGCGTCTTGCTACAGCCGTGTGACACAGGTTCACCACAAAACCCTGGTTGTCAGCTGTGTGGGTGGTAGCACCGACACACCTCCCCCATGGCGGCGGCACTTTGCTAGTGCTCACAGTGGGGCGGCCGCAGCTCAGCGACAGCCTCCCCCCCCCCCCCGCCCCGCTATCCCTGGCCTTGCCAGGGGAGATAGGGCATCGGCCTCTGTACCTGGAGACCGGGCTGCGAGTGGCTCTGTTCAGACTCCGCTAGCGGCGCAGTTACAGACCCACCCCTGTGGCTCACCCCCCTGGGGGGCCTCACTCACTGGCACAGGCTTCCTCCGCCTGCGGGAGGGGGACAGCCATCGTCGCAGCAGCAGCAGCAGCAGCAGCAGCAGTACGGTAGCCCTGCCAGTAGCCCCAGAGCAAGCAGGCGGCTCCCCTCCCTTGAGAATACAAAACCCAGGGAAGGCCCTGTGCCCCAGGCCTGGTCTGCGCCCATCCCTTGGGGTAGGGTCAGAGGGAGGCCACCCCGCAGGGAGGGCGGAAGGCTTTCCCGAAAGAGGGAGGAAGGGACCCCGAGCACGTGGAAACCACAAATGCCCATCTGCCAGTTACCGAGTGCTTCCCTGTCAGGTCTCGCGTTGGGCGCCTGGGGGAAACGGGCCCAGAGAAGGCAGGGGCCCCTCTGAGGCGCACAGCTCAGACAGGCGGTGCGGGAAGGGCCCGCCTTCCCTCGGCAGGGCCAGCGGCTGGCTCTGAATGCAGGATGGGGGGTGGGGGGGGCCAGTCCTGCCCCCGCTGCGGTCCCCTTCCCTGTACCACGTGCTGCTCGTGGGGTGGGGGAGGGGCAGAGTCCATGGGACCTCCAGTCCCGAGTGCCTGGCCCTGGCCGTGCTGCTGTGGCGGCAGGGTGACGAGCTGCATCCGCTCCGTGTGCAGGAAGCTACAACCTCGCGAGCGTGCTGCCCGCCGCCCCGGACATGGCCCAGCTGAGGCAGGGAGTGAGGTCGGTGGCGGGGAAGCTGTCCGTCTTCGCTAACGGCGTCATGACTTCGATTCAGGTGAGTGAGGCTGCGAGGATGGTTGCAGTGTGATGGCAGGTTCGTGGCTTTGACAGTGGGATTCGCCCCATTCTTCAAGGGCTGGGAAACGAGATTTTGTATTTTGTTCATATTTCTGCTACAGTGCAACCCAGGGCATCATAAAAACCAGGGGTCACCATTGCGTATTTGTTTAAATCTCCTACTGTATGATGCTAGGGCAGTTGTCACGGGAATCGTCATGATCATTCTCTACTCGTTTCCAATATTGGAACAGAGAAATATTAAGAAAAAAGTAAAAATGACCCATAATCCCATGCCCCAGAGGAATGTTAATATTTTGGTGCATTTTGTTTTACTTCTAGATCTCTATGCATTCATTTCACCTTTAAAAAAACACTCTTTGTGTATCTTTTCACAATTAAAAAAATTACACTGTGTATATATACGGTTTTATATCCTGTATTGTTACAAGCATTTTTGTGTTAAGTAAAAAGTCCTCAAAAACCACATCCTATTCAATGAAAATGCACATAATTTATTTGATTAGTCCTTAAGTTGGATATTTAGAGAGCATTCCAGTCTTTTAAATAAGGCAGCAAAGGACCAGCTTTGTACACAGGGCAGGGCAAACCTGAAACAGACTTTATTCTTGGATCATTATTTATTATTTATTTCATTATCTTCCGAATGAGCAACTGTAAACCTACTTTTGCCCCGCCCTGTGTAACTGCCTCAGGCCGCCTGGATCCCACGAGAGCCCGGGCCATGAACCTGCTTATTATTGAGGGACGCGAAGCTTGGCCGCCAGGAGCAGGGCCGCCCGTGGGCTCTGGTGCCTTCAGGGGCCCCGGTCAGGGGGCTGACCCACCGTGCAGACTTCCCTGCAGCCCCTGCTGATCCCCCGCTGCTGGTGACATAAGTTTCGCTTACGATGCAGAGCTCCTTCACGTCCCTGAGGGCCACTGAGCCCCTCAGTCCTTCCGAGGAGGAGGTGGCAGCCCTGATCCATAGGTGGCCGTCCCGTTTTGTAGCTCGCCCCTCCCCCCCCTTCTCCCAGGCAGGTGAGGGGACGGAGCCAGTGGCAGGCGTTCCCCTTGCTTCACTCGGCGGACCGTGGGCCGCTCAGGGCTCAGACTCCCGGGCGTCCCGTCCCCCACAGCACCTGCTGCCCGGGGCTCGCCCCGTGGCCGCATTGCCCACCCTCCCGGACGCTTTGCTCCCCCACCCGCCCCGCAGCCCAGGGTCGCGCCGCCCCCGGTGGGGCAGCGGCAGCCGCACGGAGCCTCCAGCGCAGCCCCCGGCAGGAGCCGTGTGGCGGGGATGCCAGCCGCGCGGAGGGTTTGTGACTCTCTCCTGGGTCCCCTCTCTTTAGGACCGCTACGGTTCTTAATGCTGACGTCCCGTGCGTGTTCCGTGGAGAAATTCCCTGCCAGTGAACCAGCGGCCACAACGCAGACTGCAGTGAAGACGGGCTGGTTTGCAGATTGTTTTGCTGTCTTTTCACAGGGTACCTATACTTTACTGACTTGTAGCATTTCTCCTGATGTAGTGGAAGCTTTATTGTCATTTCTGGTTTGTGTTACTTCCTGCACACACCCTCCTTTTGGCACATCCATGCATACCCTTGCTTTATTTTCTTGGAATCTGTAATTTCAATGGCCGGGGGTCTGCCTGGAGACAGAGGCACCCCCCACCTCCCCAAGGACAGAGAGCCTTTGTGGGGGTCTCCACATGTATGGCCCATGGGCGGGGGGCACCCAGGATCAGCTGAGGCCAGGGGTGCCTGGAGAAACAAAACTCACAACACACATTTCATTAAAACGTGGAGCAAAGGATAAAAACAGACGGCCCCAAACGACTGCTGTCTCATTGGACATGTTGCTTCCTTTTTATTTCCACCCATGAAGGGGATTTCAGAATAATGTTCAAAAGCGTCTCTCCCCTTGTCAATTGTTTATTTTGTATGATCTGTAAATTCAAAAATAATTCTCAGTGAGCGCTCTAACAAACCTAAGCTACCGCATCGCCACAGGAATGAATCATTTGGCAAGTGTGGCCGTGTGGCTTCACAGGAAACCTAGTGCGGGGCCTCCCCCCGTGCATTTATGACATCAGTGTGGCATCCATAATTGAAACTGGATGAGGTGAGGAGACACACGGAAAATATTTTAGTATGTGGGAAAACAGTAGTTGTAATTGGGTAGTTTTGTTAATATTTTTTTATCTTAATCTTCGTTTTCAAAAAATTAACAGAATGTGTATAAATGAATAAAGAAATAATTTGGCTGTGTTTTAGACAGCACTAGAATATATTGTTCAGAAGAGTAAAATGTATTTGAAATCTGATGAACCAGAAATGTGGTTTCAACTGAATATTTTGTGAATCTTTCTTAAAAGCTCCAATTTGTAGACTTCTCAATAAACAGCTGCAGCAGACTGCGTCGCGGCTTTCCTGGCGAGCGAGGACTCGTGCGACAGCCTTCACGTGCACTTGAGCGAGGATGTAGTGACCGATGGATCTGGGCTCAGTTATGTTTGGGTCCCTGACTGAGAGGGCGCAGTGGCGGGGGGCGGGGGGTGTCCTCGCTGAAAGTTAGGGTGTGCAGAGCGGCATCTTTCAAGCCCCAAGGGCCGTCATGAAAGATACCTGGACTCGGGGCTCAAGCAGCAGAGGACGTGACCCCGCAGTTCCCGAGGCTGGAAGTCCAAGGTCATGGTGCCCCCCAAATGGTCTCTGGAGAGGGCTCCCCTGCCCTCGGGTGGCCTTTCCGGGGAGGCAGCCAGGACCACTGAGTCCTATGGAACTTCAGCCCCTCCCTTCTGACCCCGTGTGACTGGAGTTACTTCTCAAAGGCCCTACCTCCAAGTCAAGTCCCGCAGGGAGTGGGCCCTGCACAGGGACCTGGGGGACAGGCCCAGCCCATGGCTGCATCCGTGAGGAACCCCGCTGGGCTGCCCTGCTCCAGGCTCAGCGCTGGGCGCAGTTCGCCTCCCGGCTGCATCCTGCGCACGTTTTTCAGGGAGCGGGGGTTGGACTCTGCTGAAGGTCACTCCCTCTGCCCCTGAGCGTGCCCTGCTGTCCCCATCACTGGACGTCCTCACGGTGGCAGGGCGGGGGGCTCGGCAGCTGCCCCGCCCCAAGCCTTCCCAGGACACCTCTCCTGAGCTTTCGACATGCGGCTCCAGGATCCCCTTTTAATTTATTTTATTAAGGATTTTATTTATTTTTTAGAGAGAAGGGAGGGGAAAAGAGAGGGAGAAAAGCATCTATGTGCAAGAGATACATCGATTGGTTGCCCCCAGCTGGGGCCCTGGTCTGCGTCCCAGGCATGTGCCCCGACTGGGACTCGAATCGAACTTTCGGTTTGCAGGCTGGCGCTCAATCCAACAAACCACATCAGTCAGGGCCAGTCCCCTCCCCGCCACCACCCACCCTTCAAAGGTGTTTCAGAAAGGTCGCGGTGCTTCCCTCCGCAGGGCTAGTTCCCTCGGCCAAAGGGCAGGTGCTGGGGCTCAGCTCCCACCCCCGCATCCGGGACATGCGCGTTTGTGTCTGTGGGCACGTGTGTGAATGTGACTTTAGTGTGTGTCCCTGGCCCTTGGGCCTTGGGCCTTGGCGTTTCGCCATATAAGCGACGCCCACGGGCGCTCATGTAGCGAAGAACATGGTGATGCGGCTCTCCCAGGCCCAGCGGTGCCTCTGGAGACGTGCAGAGGCGAAGGAGGAACGCGCAGGGGGAGGGGCACGTTTGCACGGCCCTCGGCCCTCACCGGGACCACTTTTCCCTGGCAACGCAGCACTTCTGAGCTCCGGGGAGAGCGGTCAGGGACGTAGGTGAGTAGATGTGAGCAGAGATGGGGGAGCTGCTTCGGAGAGGAACGAGCCCAATGAGACCGAACCCCACGCGGAGACCAGGGCTGCCCAAGACTCCGGGGGTCGGAGCCTGATTCCGCCAAGCTCCCCGCTCCTCCACCCCCTGACCTGAAGGGCCTTCGATGCCAGGGCCTGGGCTGCAGCTCGGCGTCGCCCCCGCCCCCTCACACACACATGCTCCCCCGCACACATGCCCCCCGCACACATGCCCCCCCTTGCTCCGGAAGCGAATGCAGGCCCCAAACTGAACTCCACCGACACCTGCTCTGCCCGAAAACCTGGCCCTCCCATGCGACCCTCCCCCAGTCCTGCAGAGTGCCCCAGAGCCCATGCTGGAGCCCAGGGTCTCCGCATGGGTGTCCCTCCGGGTCAGGGCAGGTCAGTCCCCCCGCCCCCCCCCCCGAGTCCCCAGGGGCTCCGTCCCAGAGCTCCATTGCCCCTCGCTCCTGTTTGAGGCAGGCTTTCCGGCCACCTCAGCCGCCGCCACTCACTCCGCTTGTCCACAGCACTTTTCCTGCCCATGCCTGCTTCCAACACCCATGGGGAGCCTGTGGCCTTAAAAAAGGGGTTGCTAAGCCAGGTGGACAAGCCATGATCTCCCAGGACGCATGGCGGGCGGTTGGCAGTGGGGCAAACGAGGACTCGGGCACCCTGGCGTCGGGGTCGGGCCTGCTCCTGGGAATCGGGGTGACCGTGACCTCCCAGTCAGACACTGAGGACCCAACTGCCCCAAGTGGCATTCCTGCACTGGGGTGTGAGGTCACTGACCTCCCTCCCCGACCCTGAAAGCTGCTCCGCCCTCGTGGTCACAGGACTCAGACGCCGTTGCAGGTACTCTGTCCTGTGATCGGTTCCCCGGGGGCCATGGGCTTTCTCCCTTCCCTCCCTGGTCCACGTTCCTCTGTTTGCTGTTCTCATCGGTCTGCTGGCCTGGGCCACTTGTCTCACCTAAAACAAAAGCTCACTGGCAGGAACGGCAGCCGTGGACCGGGCGTGGACAGATGGCCGGACGAGCAGAGACAGGGATGATGAGGGAGCCGACATCGGGCGTCTCTCTGGTCACATGGGCTCATCTGGCCAAGCTCCCTCGGCCTGGCTCCCTCCCTCTGTCTGTGCTGGTCCCTCTTGGGGACCTCAGCCCGCCCCCCAAGGGAGCGCAGCCGTGGGAGGCAGTGGCCCAGCTCTGCACTGAGGGGCCCTGTGCCCTGCGGAGGGACCCTTTTCTGACTCGGTCCCCGCAGCCACCTGCCCCAGACATGATCTCTGAGTCCTGAGCCCCAGTTCCTGTCTTGCACCCTTTGCCCTTCCTGTCGGTGGCACACCTGTCTGCACCACACGCCATGGGCATGGTGTCGGCCTCCTTGGGGGCTGTGCCCGCAGCCAGCACAGGGCGGGGCTGGGCTCAGGGGAGGCGTGCGTTTGCTCAGGTACCGGGTCCTAATGGCAGCAGGGACCCTGCACAGCCTCTGTGGGTGGAGCCCCCAATTTCCAGGGCCAGGGGACCAGAGGACCCAGGTGCCTGTTTGCAGAATCACGGGCGGTCCCTCGGAGAGATCCAGGGTTTGCTTCAGCAGTTTTGTGTGACAATTGCTTCGCACGGACACAGGCGCAGAGAAGGAGGAGCCGCTGGACGTGGTGTGGGGAAGGAGAGAGCCTGGACAGGGGCCTGGTGTGTGTTGGGGGGAGGGGGTGCTAGAAGGAGAAAGAGAGAAAAAAGAAGCAGAAATGTCTCCCGTGCTCAGTCTCCAGTAAACTGTGAACATGCACTATTCACCATGGCTTTGGTTTTGTTTTATGGGGGTGGGGAAGAAGTTTGTGACACCTGCGGAGGTGACCTCTGAGGGGAGTGAGTGGGAGACCGCCTGGAAGTGTTGGGCAGCCGAGTTGGACAGGGATGCAGTGGGGGTCTCAGAACAACCACAGCAGCACCCCTGGGGCCAGCAGCTCTCCCTCCCTGTGTCCCCAACCGGCTGGCTTCACTCTCTCACTGCAGATTGCTGTCCTCACCAGGTAGGAACCTAGAATAAACTCCCAGGAAAGGGCTCTGATTGGCTATGCTCCAGTCAGCACCCACCCCACCTCACCCCTGACCAATCACAAGCAACCTGAGGGCAGAGTCATGTAAGAACAGGTGCTCCTGTAGGAAGCACAGAGTCGGGTGGCGGTGTTCCTGGGAGGAGTGGGAGGGGCCTGGGCAGCAGAATGGCAGGTGCCCTCCCGAGGGAGGGGGCACAGTGCCTGAGCATCTAGTCTGAAACCCTGTAAAATCTCCTCCTCAACTCACAGGTGAAGAATCCAAGGTTTGGAGATGTCTAGGACACGGTGGAGCCCAATTCAAACCCGGGCTCCGGGTGCCCAAGCCTGGCCCACCGCACCACTCCGCCTTCAGCCTCTCTCCACAGCCCTGCACATCCCCTAGCGACATCACAAGGCCCCGAGGCGACCCCGCTCGGTCTTTTCTCCCATGGCCGGGGCACAGGGCTCTCCAGGTGGGGCCTGGGCAGGTCCTTTGTTGTCTACACAGCGGACCTCTGGGGAGTTCACGCTGACAGAGAAAAGAGCCACAGGTCCCTTTCTACATAAATCTCACAAATGTGCGGTATAAGGTTGATAATGACTCACAAAAGGACCTCCTGTTCTTTTTTTTCCCCTTTCTTTTCTTTTCTTTTTTCTTTTCTGTTGTTGCTAAAAGCTCTGTTATTTCCCTTTGGCTGCAGGCCTGGGAGAGGCTCCAGGAGGTGAGGAGGGAGTCCAGCGGTGGCGGGGCGCGGCTAGGGCAGAAGCCAGTCGCAGGGTGCAGGGGACCCTTGAAGCCCCCTGGGCTGCAAAGGCTCCTGGTTGAGCTTGAGGGCAGGCCTTTCAAAGAGACACCCGTGGGCAGGCTTCAGAGGTAAGTTGCATGTGGACTCTCTCGATGAGTTTCACCCACTCATCCAGGAAGTGGCTCGTCCAGGAAGTCACAGAGCTGCTGCAGAATCCACGGTCCCAAAGGGCCGGTTCAGGTTCTTCTCCAGGACCATGGCAGCTTCCAGGTGTCCTGAGTGTCACCACGCGCATCTTGGGACAGGGAGCAGTGTCCGCACATCCTGGAAGAGGGCGCGGCCCTGGGCTGGTTTTGCGTCTTAAAGAGCCCGCGGGCCCTCCTGCTGCTCCTCAGCCACTTTGGGGAGAAGGTGGCCCACATGACCAGAACTGCGCTGTCGTGGTGGAGACAGAAGCCCAGAAGGAGGTAGGCGTGGGGGTCGTAGGCAGATGCAGGGGGACCAGGCGGATGACAGGGCCTGCGCCTCAGTGGAATAATTCTGACCAAGTTGGCAGCTCGCGGTCACCGGCAATGAGGAGTTAAGCTGAAAAAGCAATGCCGGTTCCTTCCAGAGGCCGAGGGCGGCTGAGGTGGCTCCGAAGGCGGCGGGAGGAGGTTGGAGGGTGGCAGGAGGCTAGAAGGAGGGGCGCCCCGGGTCTGTTCCGTCCAAACACCACTGAAGCAAGACACAGGTCTGGGGGACCCCGAGGGCGCGGCTCCATGTCCTTGATAGTCCACGTGACCTCTAGGGC